CCATGCCCTTTGCATTTCCCTTAGAGGGTCCCAAAAGGCTCGCACAGAAGAATGCATTCCCTTTTGTGCCAAAACCTGCTGATGTGAAGAAACCCTGATGTGAGTCAAAGTCAAGGTCTGAATTTGTGTACGCAATGTAAGTAGATGCCGTGTATTGACTAGGTCCTCCAGTAGAGAGGTCAGAATAAGGGTACCCGTTTTTCTGTAGACGATTTTAGTAGGGGAACCCTCCAAAAAGAGAGTAAAAGGGCACTGCTGGGGAACCTCGTTGACCGTTGCTCATATTCTCAGCCAACCTCTGGACATGAGCTTGCTCCATCCCAACACGGCAGTGGTGATCCATGCAGACGTTGTATGAGTATCGGGGGGCAGATGCAAGGCAGAATTGCCTTGTGACGTGCCAGTTGGCCTATGTCTACAACCTGTCCGCATGTGGACAGCGCCTTTACATTTGATCGGGCTGACCATGCTCAGCAACTCACTTTGTCTGAATGATCCATTTGTCTGATGTCTCATGTCATGGGCATCAACAACGACTTTCCAAATGCAGGCACCAGTGATACTACACACGTCAAGATAATATGCACGTTCAGCTCAGGACCCTAAGGCACGGATTGCATGCTAGTTCCCTTTCCAAAGCATCTTGGAAAACCCGAAGTGAGCCACATTGCCACACAAAAGCAGCCGCTCAAAAGCCCAGTTCTGCCCCCACCTCGAGCAATTCTTCAGCCTTCAGTTAAACCTCAGTCGAGCTCCGTTGGCGAGGCGTGCCTTTGATTCTTTTGCGGAACCGCCTCAAGGTGCTTGGGGGACAGGAGTCCCCAGATGATACCCACAGGCTCCGGCCACGATGTGTCATAGCCGCCCATTTGGTCATGCAAAGGACTAAGCCTCTCAAAGCGGGGTTTACATGGGAAATCTCCTTGAGGATTGTTGTCCATGCACACCATGACTAAGAACACACACACGCACACACGCGCGCGCACACACACCCATACATGGTGTCCAGAGTTCCCTTCCAAACAAAGAGCGGGCCGAAATGGTGGGTTGGACTATCAAAACTGGCGACCCGACAATGGGAACGGCCGCAGATCTGGGAATGGCCCGTTGGTCAACCGGGAGAAGCTGACCTTTTGGATGACCCGTTGGAGTTTGGTTCGTGGCTTGCCCCATGGTCCCAACAAACGACAATAAACTCACTGCAGGCTAAAATATGGAACAGCTGTATTCCATGCTTTGCAGGGAAGTATCAACCACGATCCACATGGAAGCGACCATGTCGAGACCCTCTCAAGCAGCCAAGCGACCATAGCCCCGGGGCTCAGCGCGAAGCAAGCGCGCTAAAACGCATGGCTCGAGCAAAAAGGGTGGGCCACCGGCCAGTCGACGAGTCAACAAACTGCCCACAGCGATTTAAAGCGCAGGCTGCCTTTGAGTTCAAGCAAGGAAGCAAGTCAAGAAAGCGGCGAAGGTGTCGAAACTAATTCTCATGCTCAAGCCAATATGAAATCACAGGTGTGGAGGCATTCCTTTTTTTCACATGATCCATGTGTATTCCTGACTATGTTTTGACGGCAAAAAGCTCGTAGCAACGCCATACCAATGAGATCAGGGAGTTCGACATGCGCTCATGGCCCCGGCGTTGCTTCTGGCTTTCGGGCCTGGCCAAAGCAATAGACCAAGTCGGTGGACTGGAGAAAAACAAACCCATGATGCCTCCACATTCTATCAACCACAACACACATCTATATATATATATATAATACAGACAGGGATCCAGGCCAAGCATGACCAAAGGTCAACTCTGAAGACTCTCTAAAGCTTGACCCCGAACGCATTCGGGTGTTTCCTTGTCTTGGAAACCGCATGGGCAACCAGCCCCGTAGTTTAAGACACACCCATTGGCTCGTTGTTCACCCCTTGGCTGAGGGAAGCCGAGCGCCCCATAGAGCAGGACACGGGTGTGATGGGCTGTTCAACATGAATTGTACCCAGGGGTTCAAATGGGTACCATAAGGGTTTGTAGAGGTCCTCAAGTAGAGAGGTTAGAATAAGGGTGCCCTTTTTTTCCGAACCCTCCCCCAACACAGGGTAACAAGGCACTACTGGGGGACCTAGTAAGGGTTCAAACGGTTACCATAAGGGCTTCTGCTTTGTGAGTACCCTCTTTAGCTGGGCTCAAAATGGTTCGTGTTGGTCCATCCGAATTCCCGAATCCCTGCTGTACTAAGGGGACCGAATGTGTTCCCAAAGTAAGCATCTCGCGGAGTGCCTAAGAGCCCAGAGGAGGCTTTGGGACCCAAGAAATAGATGGAGTGTCAACTGGTGACCCTCTTCGCAAAATGAAGGGACAGAATGAGACTCCCAAAAGCAGGGAGTTTTTGAGGTGGAAAAGACGGGCTGAACCAAACTGAAAATGTTCCGACTCACCAAGCATTGCAAGCACAAAGCCAACCTTGGACTGATGTTGCTGTCTGCGAATACCAAAAAAAAAGGTGGATGCATTCAATGCCGAGATCTGATCATTCGGACTTCCTTTCAGAGCGAGCCAGAAATTCTTCACCCCTTTGAAAAAACCAAACGTGGACCGTTTTGAGGGCGGTACCGCCAGTCCAGTCCCAGCAACCGCCGACCGCTTTGGCACCTTCCAAACCCGGGGCTCCTGTCACGCAAACGCTTCGGGCGCCCCAGCTCCGGCGCCCCTTCTCTTCGGGGAGAAACACATGCTCGCCGCCCTTTTTTGTCCAACAACAAAACGCCCAGCCCACCTTCTCTGTGTCTTTGTTGTAAAAAAGAATAAACATCAACCCTGTTTAACTACAGTTCCCTTGGGCTGGGTGAATGGCGACGGCCGGCACATGCCCGCACAAAGCTGATGTGATGCTCGACAAAACAAATCCTCATATATGCGTCTGCTCAAATCCAAAACTGGAATCAACCATAATGGGTAAGCTCGCTTCTCACCCAGGTGTGCTGTGATTTGCCAGACGCATCTCTCAATACCGCGCCGTTTCTCTTTTTCTCCACACTACTGTGGACGAAATTTCCATGTCGCACCACTGTGCAACTACGGGAAGCCATTCGTTGGTATTTAAAATTTACAGGAGGATCATCATAAACCCGGGTTTCTTAGGTCGTGCGAAATGGACTTCGTCCATCCGGGTGGGGTGCTACCATCATAAACCCGGGTTTCTGAACGGTCATGCGATTTCTGGAGCTCGATTTCTGCCACAAAGGGCCCTGGGAGTCTCAGCTCTCTAACCCAGACAGCTTCTCTCAACCCTCTGGCTCCCAAATGTGTCCAATTCAGAACTTGACATACTGCGGATGGACAAAATCCATTTCGCACCACCTGAAAAACGTGGGAAGCCATTGTCTGTTGGTATGTACAGGGGAATCATTATTCCTGGGCTTCTTAGGTGGGTGCGAAATGGATTTCGTCCATCCACAGGGCTGTGGGTCACAGCCCAGGAAACCCCTGGTGAACATCAAAATAGGTGGCGCATGGATGCTCCCCAACATGGGATCGCCGGTTATGCCCCATGGCCCAATGGCCAAACTTGACAAAGGGTCCTCCAGAGAGGTTAGAAGAACAGGGATCCGGATGCATTATACACCTGAACATTGCAACTTGTAAATGGCGGTGTCCCTTTATTTTGGTGTTGAAAAAGCCATGTTTCAAATGGGCAAGATGTATCTTTTAAGGAGCCCTGAATAAGGGTGCCAACTTTTTTCTGTAGTCTATAGTAGTAGGGGAACCGAATCTCCCCAAAAAAAAGGGTGAGAAAAGGCACGATCCTGGGGGACCTAGTTGAGATACTGTGGATGGTTGCGAAATCCGTTCGCACCACTTGGAAACCTACATGGGAATCGAACCATTCCAGAGTTTCTGAACGGTGGTGCGAAATGGAGTTCGCAACCATCCACAGTAGGAGTGTGGACCAAGCCAAAAAAACAACTCCTCCCATCGGAAGGCCCGGCCTTTGACTCCATCTTCTTCGCTCGGGGCGCTCGGCCTGCGGAAGCCATCAGGCCGAAGCGAGCCCAAAGCAGCTCAAAGCGAAAACTCTAGGGGTACCTTCCATTTCCATTCTTTCCAGGGTCAAAAAAAAAGTATTTCTAGAAAACCTCAAACCCAGGAGAAACAGCCGGTTTCTGAAGAGAACGATGGACATTTTGTATTCTAGGGTACCTTCCATTTCCATTCTTTCCAGGGATCCGAATCTTTTCGGGAAACCATCGCAAACCCAGAAAGAAACGGATCCGGTTTTTTGGAAAACCTCTTTTGAAACCCAGGGAGAACCAGGGATCCGAACATCTTTCTAGAAAATCCTTTGAAACCCAGAAAGAACGGTTTTTCCGGCTTTTTGGAAACCAGGATGCTTGAGAAGAATGGGATGGGAATGGGGAAAGAGGAATCAACCCCTAGACTACTAGAGTTATGTGTTTGTGTGAGTGTGTGTTGTTCTTTTGTTTTTCACGGTGTGCTGCTTTGGGTTGATTTGAAGCTACTGGACACGTGGGGAAGCACGGACACCATCCACAGGTTTCGGCACGGAACCTCCATTTTCATTGGCGAATGAGAAGGCAGCCTTCAGGCAGCGAGACGCCGGCAGCCTTCAGACTCCCAGCCCCGGCCGCAGAAAATCGCAAAACTGTCTCATTCATATATTTGATAACAAATAAATACTTTGATAACCATCGCAAAACCATTTCTCTGATATTTTCTCATTCTAAGAAGCTGCTTATTGATCTTGGAAGCAATTGATTCTTTCAGCTTTTGGCTTTGAACAATGAATTCAAAGAGGACTGCAGTTGATTTCTCCCCAAAGGCAGCTTGGTTTTTTCGTCCATGAAAAAACCCGCCTGCATCGTTGATTTCCCCGAAGCCAGCTCGGTTTGAGTCCACTCTGAGGCCCCAAAAACATGAAATCGCCTGCCTCTCCTCTGCCTCGCTTTCCTTTTACCGCTCGGACCGGTCGCGCTGGCCCGACTTCGGCTCAGGAGTGTCCGGCAGTTCCAGGAGCCCAGGTCTGGTCACGCGATGGCTTCCATGTGGGGGTGATTTGGCGGTGGGTCAAAATTAAACCACAAATGGGACCAGACGTTTAATGCATGTTTCCATTTACCAGGGTTCCCATTTTGGGTACATATTTTGCACCCACTGCCATGTTTACATAAGGGACCCTGCGGTAGACCCCATTTGGGTGGTGAGTTATGCCCCAAAGTGGTTGGTTGTGTTTCCTTAATAAAACTCATGGCCAAGTTAGTTGGTCTGTACTTGAGGGTACAAAACTCTGGGGGAGTGACACTTATGCCATCGACTTTGGCCCTGTGGCTGAAACGATGTCTCCTGCAACGAGGCTTCATTGCACCCGTCAGCAAAATCCGCCAAGGACAACATGCATGGAAGGGAACGCCAATTTGCGACTTGATTGATAGATGGAACTGAAGAATGCAACGGAGCACAGGGCCCCAATTCCCCTTGTGACACCGCCCTATATGATAAGAAACTCAGTCAAACTTGGCAACCACCCAAAACAGGAGACTATATTGAGCCCTGTTGCAGCCGCCCGGCAAGCCCCGACGCGGGACATGCTGTGATATGACTGGCTTGCCGCACAGGACGTGCTGAAAGCCGCTGGAAGCAGCGACCAAACGAGAAACTGAGCGCCGGCACTCTGAGCTACTGTGGACGGACGAACTCCTGCATCACCTAAGAAACCCTGGAATGATGATCCTGCAACCAACAAACAATGGTTTCCAACACTTTCAAAGTGGTGCAGGAGTTCGTCCATCCACAGTAGCCCAGAGTGCCGGCTGGTTGCTATTGTCTCCACCTGAAATGACACACCGCCCGCCTTTGTCCTCTCCCCGGGCCGACGTTCCTCCCGCTCCGGGCGGATGCGGCGCTCCGTCTTGGCGGTGCGGTACTCCTTGTCGCGCGCGGAGCCCTGCGGCGAGTCGTCGTCGCAGCCGCAGACCTCGCCGGCTTCCCTCCTGTTTTTGCTGAACTTTTTTTTCAAATTTCCCCTGTTGGCTTTTAAGGGAATCGATTTCACGATTGGATCTTTGTTTTATTTACCTTTTTGAGGGGACGAACAAGCAAATGGAGGTCCATTGCTGGTTTGTTTTCCAACGTTTCCGTGGAAAACAAGTGGCAAATGGATTTCCCCAATGCTGAGAAAAAGTGAAGATGGAAAGCGTTGGTCGCAACCTGGAGAAAGTGTTTGGAAAAAGTGACTGGTGCTGGGTTTGGACACACATGGCTGTAGGTCAAAACCAATGGTATCCCATTTTGGGGTAGGTGCACCACCCATTTTAGAACCTATTTTAGTGGTTGGATTGGGATGTTCACTGGTGGTACGATTTGGGTTTTGACCCATGGCCACATCCTTTCCGCGTGTTTTTTTTCCAGATGGCTGTGGGTCAAAAATAGGTACCCGGAATGGAACCCGGGCAAACGGAACCAAAGAGTCCAATTCCTGGTGGTTTGATTTTGACCCATACCCATACCGGGTTCTGCGAAAAAACGCCCATCTGCTCTCGCCCGACTATGTTCCCCGCGCGCCCCCCTAGCCCCCCAACTTCAATGTTGTCAAGGAACGCTGTGACGTCTGAAGCAAGAATATGCTCTCTCATTTTGCCGCAGACTTCGTTAATAAGGGCCACATCCAAGTTCGGGGGCAAGGGGGCTGGCACCTGCTATCAACATGGATTTGGGAAGATGGGTGTTTTTTTGCAGAACCCGGTATGGCTCGAAACCAGCAAACCAAAAAAGCTGGAAAGAGGAAGCCGCTTGTCATTTCCATCACAAATAATGTCTATTAAAAAACCAACAGGACAAAACCAGATTCACTTCCGCAAAAAAAAAGCAATAACACTCAAACAACACGATCAAATCGAAGAATCTTCTCTTCAACAATCCCTTCACCTTTTTTCCCGGGAAAAACTTGGGGAAAACAAAACAGCACTGGACCTCCATGTTAAAACCAACGGTAAAAATGTGAAAACCTTATTTCCATTATAGATGAGTGTTCCTTTAAAACCAACACGGGACAATTAAAAAAAAAAAAAAAGAGAAAAAAAACATTTCAGACACAAACTATTGATTCCCTTAAGCACCAACAGGGGAAAGTTCAAAAAAGAAAAACGTTCAGTCAAAAGTTCAGCAACATGTCAGGGAAAACTCTTAATTGCAGCATTTTTTCCGGGTCAAATCGAAGAGGCGTTTAAAACAAGCATTTCCAAAGATCCCTTCGCCACCTGTTTTTTGCGGGGAAAACTTGCGAAAACAAAAACCAGCACTGGACCTCCATTTGCTTTTTCGTCCTCTGGAAAGAAAGTCCAACAGCGAAATCGAATCCCTTTAAACCCACCGGAAAAATCGCAAAACCATATGTCCATTCCAGATAGTTTAAAACCAACAGGGAGAAGTAAACAGAAAGACGTGTTCAACAAACAAATCAGCAAAATTTCAGGGATGACTCTTCATTGCAGCAACTTATTCCGGATCAAGTTTAAAACAATGTCCAACAATCCCTTCGCCACCTTCGTTTCCCGGGGAAAACGGGGAAAGCAAACCTCCATTTGCTTTTTCGTCCTCTGGAAAGAAAGTCCAACAGCGAAATCGATTCCCTTTTAACACCCACAGGAAAAATAGTAAAACTATATGTCCATTACAGATTAGTTCCCTTTAAAACCAACAGGGGAACATAACCAGAAAGACATGTTCAACAAACAAATCAGCAAAATTTCAGGGAAGACTCTTCATTGCAGCAACTTATTCCGGATCAAGTTTAAAACAATGTCCACAATCCCTTCGCCACCTTCGTTTCCCGGATAAAAGGGGAAAGCAAACCTTCATTTGCTTTTTCGTCCTCTGGAGAGAAAGTCCAACAGCGAAATCGATTCCCTTTTAACACCCACAGGAAAAATAGTAAAACCATACGTCCAGTACAGATAGTTCCCTTTGAAACCAACAGGGGAAAATAACCCCTGAAAGACATGTTCAACAAACACATCCGCAAAAACACACCGAAACCATATTTCCCTTACAAATGAGGTTCCATTTCCGCCGCAAAACCAAGAAAAAAAACAGTTCCAATCTAGTTTAAACCCAACAGGGGGAAAATAACCAGAAAGAAATGAAATGTTGAACCATCACATCAGCAAAAAAGTCAGGGAAGCCTCGTCCTTCAAATCGCCTCTGGAAAGAAAGTCCAACAGTGAAATCGATTTCCTTGATGCATGTCCGCCAAAACAAAAAAAGTCCAATCGAATAATTTCCCTTCAGCAATCCCTTTGCCACCTTTGTTCCCGGGGAAAACTTGCGGAAAACAAAAACCAGCACTGGACCTCCATTTGCTTTTTCGTCCTCTGGAAAGAAAGCAATAAAACAGAACGCAAAAAGAGTCCAACAATGAAATCGATTTCCTTAAAAACCAATAGGGAAACAGGGATCCTTACATTATACACCTGAACATTGCCTTGTTAATGGTGGTTTCCCTTTATTTTGGTGGAAAAAGCCATGTTTTCAAATGGGCAAAATGTATCTTTTGAGGAGCCCTGGGAAAACGAAAACCGATCCAAGCGGAAGCAAACAATCCTGTGAAAACCACATTTTTCTTATAGGATATTTCCATCTCCAAAAAAAAAAAACAGAAGAAGAAAAAAAGAAAATAGAAAAAATATCAGGGAAGATGCGGGGGAGAAAAAAAAGCGGGGGAGTGCAAAACCCAGCACGTCCCAGCGCGCAAGCGGCATTGAAGCGCTGGCGCATGGTCGTGGCCGCGCGCCGCAGCGCCGTGGCCTCCTTGGGCACCCGGTGCGGCAGCTCTGGCCTCGAGAAGACCGACCGAAGCGCGGAGCGACGGAAGGGTTCCGAGGCCGTGGTTTGAGTGTTTTTTGGACAACCCCCAAGGGAGAAGGCGGAAAAAGCCGAGGAAAACAAGGAAAACAAAGAAAAAAGACTCGGGAGTGGTTGATTTTTTGGGGCGACCCCCAAGAGAAACAATCAAAAGGCAAAGGAAAAAGCAGGGAAAACAGGAAAAACAACTCGGGAGTGGTTGATTTGTTGAGTTGTAGAAAGTGGTTGATTTGTTGAACTGTTAAACCCAAAAAAACCTAGGGAGTGGTGGAATCGTTGATTTGTCGAACCCAAGGAAAACAAAAAACAACACCTAGGGAGTGGTTGATGTGTTGATTGTTGAAACCAAAAAACCTAGGAAGTGGTTGTTTTGTTGAACTGTTGAACCCAAAAGACTTAGGGAATGGTGGAATTGTTGATTTGTTGAACCCAAGGAAAACAAAAACAAAAAACACCTAGGCAGTGGTTGATTTGTTGAGTGTTGAAACCCAAGACACCTAGGAAGTGGTTGATTTGTTGAACTGTTGAACCAAAATAATCTGGGGAGTGGTGGAATGCAAGGGAAACAAGCAAAAACACCTAGGGAGTGATTGAACCGAAGGTAGACAAAAAACACCTAGGAAGTGGTTGAGTTGAACTGTTGAACAAAAAAAGCCTAGGGAGTGGTTGATCCGTTGATTGATTGAACCCAACGTAGACCAAACAATACCTGAATCATAATCAAAACTGATCGGTATTAACATGGTGTACCCAAACCAATGCAAAGAGTTCAAAAGGCAGCCACACCTATTTATGGCTGGGATTGTCCCTTACTAACCTTCAGCTACCCGGGTTTGATTGTGGCTCACCTAGGGTGTGGTTGATGCATTAAATGACCCAAAGGGGACCCCCTGGCCTTGTTTTTCAGCATCTTCCTCCCAATATGGACCCGGGATTTGATGATCAAGAAACCCAAAAGGGTTTACAACGCTCAGGTCCCTAGAATGGCAACCTCTTCCTGGTTTTGGCCTCCTATTTAAATACATATATATATATATATCAAAAGGGAGTCCACCGTCGTGACTTACAATGAGTGCCCAAAACTCGCTGACTTTTGGTTCTACTAAGCTAGTTATAGAGATTTACATGGCCAACCCATTGAAACCAGGTAGTAGACCCCGCCTACTTTAAAGGGCCATTGAGCAAGCTCAAATGGTCGCTTTCTGGGGGGGGGAACCCCCCTTTTTGTTCGCGTTGACTTAGCACCCAATATCTCCACCACAAAGCGATATAAGCCCGACTCACACCAGATACAAACAAACATTTTGCTCAAATGACAAACCATGTTCCGTCAAAGTAGGTATGATCATATGTTCCTCTCCAGGCACCTTTTGGCTCGATATTCAAGCGTGGATGCTTCCACCATCAACTCTGGAAGGTCGCCGTGTTCTGATTCATTTCAGGTGAAACATGTCCTGGACACGAAAGAGGCTTGGTCCACGGCTTGGTTGACTTGAGGTGGATTATAGGTTTGTGTTCCTGAGAGGCCTGAACTCGGCTGAAGCCGGCAAGTAGGGAGCGGGAGCTGCAAAAGGCTGGTTTCGCTGGTCAAAGCGTTCGACCAGAAGTTCGGCCGATCGCATTCAACAAATATCTGTTGCGCCAAGAATGGAAGCTTTGATGTCTTCCACTCACCACTTCACATGGAAGCTGACCTTTCGCGGAATCGGTGCTGGTGTGGACCATGTTCCTCTTACAGGGACCGAAAATCCCGAACGTCACCCAACAACCCACCAGACACAGACCCCCCACCGCAAAGCGACTCAGAAGGAAGCTGCCAGGCGGCTGCCTGTAGTGGCCGTAGACCCGCCTCGGAGGTGCGCCTGGCGAGGCAAGAAGCAAGCGACGTGTGACGGGGTGCCGGGCACTTGGAGAGACCGTGGATGGTTGCGAAATCCAGAAATCGCACCACCGTTCAGAAACCCGGGTTTATAATGATGCCTCTGTAAATATCAACAAACAATGGATTCAACCATGGGTTCAAAGTGGTGCAGGATTTTGTCCACCACAGGATGTCTGACCCCGCCGCAAAACGTCCAAACCTTTTTGCGACACGGCGAAGTTGGCTTATGAAGAGGAAACTCCAGGCGCTTGGAGACGAATCCACATGAACAACTCCGTGACAGAGACACAGACGCACATAGCATCAGAAGATTGCGGGAGGCGCCTGCTGCTCCTTCTGCGATCTTGGGGATCTCGCTAAACTCAAGCTGCTGCCAACGGAACCTCAGCGTTTTGACAACGGGCCCTCTGGACGAAACCTCAAACTGATTTTTCCTTTTTCGTTTCCCTCACAAGCCTCTCGAGCTTCGAGCTGCTGGTTCCTTCTGGTTTCCAGCAAGGCGGGGTTGTCCAACTACACCCAAAAGTGCACCCTCCCAAGAGACGCACCTCAAACCAAGCGCGTTGCCCTGTTGACGCCGCCAAATTGGCACGCAGAATGGGAAACCTCCTTGTGCCGGCCACACAAGGAAGCCACGCACGCTGGATTACTATAGACCCATAGCCATGTTCAGTGCTTGCTGTGCAAGCGACGGACGGGCCCCACAGAATTGCCCTTTTGGGGAAACGAAAAGAATCGCCTAGAGTGCAACCAGCCCAAGGGGACCCAATTTCCATTCTTACGATCCCGAACGGTCAACAATGGTGCTCATATATGTATGATTATATATATATATATGTATATATATATATATATATGCATACATACATAGATATTTCATTTATATATATATATATATGTATGTATGTATGTATGTATGTATGTATATATATATATATTTCCCAACCAATCTTTGAATGGTGGTCTGCCTGATCAGCGGATCACTCGAGGACTCCCCGGCAACTGAGGCCACGGCTTGCTGAGGAAGGTGTAGTACGAGAAGGCCATGAAAATCGCCTTCCAGCGACGCACGAGTTACGCGTACTACCGTGCGCCGGTGAAGGTGGAATCTCTATCGGGTGCAAAGCCAGCTCACAGGTCCTTTAAGGGAGCCCCGGACAAAAATGATTTACTTCAAGAGGATAGGGGATAATTTAGTTGTTGGTGTGTGTGTGTGTGGGAAATCCTGGCGAGTTCAAGGCAAAAAGGTTGCGCGTCGTACCCAAAGGCAACTTGACCAGAGCTGGAGATCGCCTCATGTGTCCCCGGCGTGTCTCAGGCCTCTTGGCCTTTAGGACACCAAAGTACCCCTTGAAGGGATCTCAATCAGAACCTTCTCAGAAGGGATTTGCATCGCGTAGACCCTTCCCTACGCTTTCTCCAACCTTTCTCGTAGGCCCGCAAGAGGCCAGCGACACACGTGGTATTATCACCCGCGCAGAACCTTGCTTCAAGCTTAATGCATTCAGCGTCATGATAACCCAAACTGTGCTACCAGAGTAGCAACAGCTCAGAAAGTAGAAGGATCCCTCCCGGCAATGGCTTTTCCTTCAGCTGGGAGTGATTGGCTGGCAGTGTTGGACCCCTGTCAGATCAAAAACCAAAAACCAGCTGGAGGTTGGCCACGTGCGACAAAATGCCACTCGCGACAGAATAGCCACGCAGTAGTTCATGGGAAAGTGGAGTAGCAAGCGGGAGAAAGAGGTCCCAACCCCCCCAAAACGATGCTCCTTGTCGGTTCCTAGTAGAGCGATTCCTTGTGGCAGGGTGCAGAGAATCTTGAAGGGGTGCTACAGTAGTCTCTATCCTGACCGGCTCGGATCCGAGCTACAGCTAAATATCAAGAGTCATCAGTATGGTCCCATGGATCACCCACAAATCGCAACTGCTGGCTTCAAGTAGTGCGAGAAAGGATTGCTCCCATTTGCAAAGACCAAAAACAACGCAACCAGTCCCCCTGATTCTTTTCGCACCACCCATTTGGAAAGGGGGAAACAAAAAAGGAGGAAAAAAAACACGTCCCCCGACCTCTTTTTCGCGAGCCGAGCCGAGCCGCACTCGAGGCACAAAGGATGCCAGGGGCGATGTTGGGGCCCCGGTTCAGCAGTAGCCCAGTCATGACGGCGATGTACCTGTGCTCTGACATCAAAGCAACGGCAGGTACCAGTGACCTGTGGGAAAAACATGGATGGCCTTAAGAAATGGAATGAAACCCAGCTAAACCAGTGGAAAGCCACGGCTGCTGAAAGTACCTCTTGGTAGAAGTGACCTGTTGGAAAAAATCGATGGCCTTGGGAAATGGAATGCAACCCATCTAAACCAGCGGAACCCATCTATGTCTGACCAAACTCGCCGAATCAGAAATGGGGTGCGGATTTATTCTGGGATTTGTTTGCCGTTTTTTTGTTGGAGTGTTTTTTCCGTTTTTCGTCTGGGCCGGTAAAATGTCGTATTGTACGGCATTTTCTCGCGAAATTGACGTAAAAAAAGTAGCCCGTCAACATCCCCAGCATCGTTTTCGACATCCCCCGCATGTCCGACCAGCATCCTTAGCATCACCAACAAATCGTGGGTAACAAAATCTAAAAAGTAGGGTTGACAGGGTCGACAAAAAGATGATACAAACAGGAGGGCGTTTCAATTCCTGGGAAAAAAATAAATCTAAAAAGTAGCGGGGGGTTGGAAGGGGCGGCAGCCGCCCATGATGTTCGCGGAAGCGATGATTCGAATAGGAGTGCAATTACATCTGTTCAAGAAAAGAAGCGGGGGGGTTGGGGGGCGGGGGGGGGGGGCACCCCCATGACACATGATTTTCGAAGAAGTGATGATTCAAATAGGGGTGCAATGATTCAAGAAAGGGTGAGATAGAATTTAGAAAGCAGCAGGAGGGTTGGCAGGGGAGGCTTCCCCTATGATGGTCGATCAGGTGCATACATACAGACATACATAGATTACATAGATTACATAAAATGTCGTATTTTATAGCATTTTCTCGCGAAAGTGGATGATCGAAAAAGTGATGATTCAAATGGGGGTGCAATTAAATGTCTGCAAAAAATCTAAAAGGTAGCCCTGGGGTTGGGGGGGAGGCGGCAGCCTCCTCCATGATGTTTGAAGAAGTGATGATTCAAACAGGGAACTGGTGATGCTGAGGATGTGGGAAGCCAAAGCCAAAAACCACTGAAAGGGTGCAAAAGCCAGAAAGCCCGGAGAGGAACTCGAAAAGCAGAGGATGCGAAAAGCCAAAGCCACCAAAAGCCGCATAAACCAGCGAAAAGCCGCAGAAGCCAAAACGCCGCCGAAAAGCCACAAAACCAAGAAGCCAAAAGCGGAAGAAGAAGAAAAAACGGGAAACATCCTGAAAATAAATACCCCTCCTTAGAAAAGACACCTATGCCTCTGGAGTTGAGACGTTCAATGAGTGTATGACTCAAACAAACCGCCAGACACTCCCATCTCTCCCTCTAGGCACATGAAGCTCCAACCAACTTACGCCGAGCAAATAGGAAAACTAGTGACCCCCTCCAGAAGGTAGGTGTATGAATCCCAATTGGGGACGCTTTGGACACATCATTTGACATTTTGGAGGGCGTTCCAACCATTAAACATCATAGCCAATGTAGGTGTCCTGTCGACGTTCCTTTGCTGCACAACCGCAAGAGGGTTCACTATTTCCAGATCCTCCAGTAGAGAGGATAGAATAAGGGTACCCTTTTTCTGTAGTCTATTTCAGTAGCGGAGCCCTACCCCAAAACAAGTGTAAAAGGGCGCTACTGCGGCTAGATTTTGACGTCTCAGGCACCCTTCGTCCCAAATTTCGATGCCATAGCCCCAAAAGAGGGGCTCGCCAAAGGGTCCCAGTCAGCCCGTGTCTGACCACTCATTTGGGTTCTTGAGGAAACTTTTTTGGGGTTGGTTTAGAGGGAAACCCAAAAACAAACACAAAACCTTTGAGACAAACGCTGAGGTTCACTGCCAAGCTGCAGGAACGTGGCCTGCTGGGCGTGCTTCAGCTGTTGGTGCCTCTTGGCGGGGCCCCAAAACTTCAGAGATGGTTGCTGCAAGGATTAGAGGCCCCATCCACACCTCTGAAGGGCTTGCCCGTGTGGCCTTCGGCCTCACCCAAAAAGCAAGGCCCTAGGTTAAGCCGTGTGGCTTCTTCGGGAGACTTGGGGCCCCCGAAATAAGAGAGTGATCTGCGAAAAGTACCATGAGGCACCAACTGCAAATTGGCGAGCCCCGAAATGAGTAGGCCCAAGCTTGTTGTGCGCCCAGGTGAGCTCGCTAATTGGCGCAAATGCCGCCAGAGAGTCTTAAAGATTTGTATGGCCCTTGCCACGATCCTAACAAAAAGCAGGTATAGTGTTCCTCTTCAAGGCGCCTGACACCAGGTTCCATGAAAGAGCGGATCTGATCAATCCGCAAGGCCCCGACCAGATCCCACCCCCCTGCCCCTGGACAGTTCGCCTGACACCATATCCCCTCCCTGTCTTTCTCGGGTTCCAGGAAAGGTGGGGATCGGGGTGTTCTTCAAAGGATTGAAAGGGCCGGAGTTCGCCCGACCCGGGATCCATCCGCGTTGCGCCATCGGAGCGCCCTCAGCCCAAACATGAAGCACCCCCACCTAAGTCAACCAAAGCTGACGTCAGAATAGAACCCCCCCCCAAAAAAAGAAAAGAAAAGAAAGAACAAAAAGGAAACCGGAGAAGCTAGTTCCCCTCTAAAGCCAGCCCACCCACAAAAAAATCCCCGACTCCCATTTCCAGGCGCCCCCTTTCCCCCACTTGAGACTTCTCCCAGGCGCCAGAAGAGGCCTCCCAGATCCGGCTTCAGGGTCTCGGCGTACACGAACCTCGTGAAAGCACCCGAACCTTCTAGGAGTTGATTCCTTGTCCATTGTTTTCAACCATGCTTTTCAAGAACCGGTTGTTTCCCCTGGGTTTTTAAGAGGGTTTCCTGAAAAGAAGGATCGGATCCCTGGAAAGAATGGAATTGGAAGGTACCCCTAGAAATATGAACCTGTGGGGACTCACCCCCTTCACAAGAACCTAATGTCAACTGTCTTTTTTAAGATTGGACTCCTTCTCAACATGGCATGGAATTCTCCTTTTGGTATCCCTTTAAAACCACAAGCAAGGGGTAAGGGGCACCTTCAAAAACACACACCCACTTCACAAAACCTCCCAAACGACCTTTGTAGACCGTTTAGCTTGAGACCATCCACACTAAACCCACACATCCGGGGATCTACCCTGAGGTGTGTCCAAATTGGGGGGAGGTGCGGGCTTCCATGCTCAAGCCTCCTGAACAAAAGAATAATCATGTGTCCAGTGGTGATAAACTCCCTGCAAAACCAGCAAGGGAAAATGGACAAGTATTCCTCTCAGCAAATGGAAGGTCAACACATGGCTGTGTCTTCTTTTTGGTGGTACCCTTTGTGGCGGTTGTAAGGGGAAACCAAAAGGAAAGCCGTTTTAGGGGCTCGCCTAAAAAGATTCCTCCCATATGGCCGTGGCTCGTCATTTTCGGAGTTGGTACCCCATGTTTGGGGTGGTTTCAAAGCAACAAAATGAGCTGTGGCTCAAATGGAATCCCAAAAACGGGGGAAATGGAACTTGGTTGGTGGGAGGGCAAATAGAATGAGACCATTGTGATTCATGTCAAAAGCGGACTGACACTTTTAAGTTCATGCTTGGCCGCCCAGACAAGAACGGACCCAAAGAGCAGCCGGGGAACAGCCCCTCCAAAAGGTGTGGGGGTTGCCGGAGGTGGCCGACAAGAACTTTGGCCTTCCCAGGCGCAGGTAGGTGTAGAAGATCCGGCAGAAGGCAAAAAAGATGGCCCCCAGCAGGGTGATCAGGGGAGCCAGCGTGCCTGGGCTCAGCTTCGAACATCTGTCAGCACGTTCCATGAGGTGTCGCCCACAGGCCAAGACTACCACGAACTTCGGCCATGAAGCATTTGCACGCGGGCTTTCGGTTCGACTTATCTGGATCTGGCAAGGCTGTCCAACCTGGAAGCGGGTCAACCCGACTTCGAACAAATCACACCATCTCCAGCCTGGCTCGACGCATGTTCTCAGTACAGCCTAGGTCCTCCAGTAGAGAGGTCAGAATAAGGATACCAACTTGTTTCTGTCTATTTTAGTAGGGGAACCTTCCCCCCAAAAAAGGCCAGGCAAAGCCTTTGTGACTCTTCCGGCCAACGGGGCTCCCTCCCCAAAACGCGGTCCCGAAGACCAGCCAGCCACGGCACCGAAGACCAGAACCACCACATAGATCAGCGTGAGTCGAGCGCTGCGCGAGCCCATGCCGTTGTAGTCCTTCGGGAAATCTGTGACTACGTGACAGGACGATCACGCTTGGAATCCAGAACAGGGCCTTGATCGCTTGTCAGAGCCTAGGCTCAGAGAAAACCGGTCGCACCAGGAAGAGTTGAGACCCCTCCCCGTGGTTTCATTGGTGGAACTGAACATCGGAAGCCCCCAACAGCAGGGAGAATCAGTCGGTTCGTGGAATCAACGGGTTGCCCAGCACGAGTTGGGGATTCAAGCCCGCCCTTTTTGAAGGAACCTTCTCCAAAGCTCGCAGAGGTAAGGCACCCTTTGCGGGATGCAAAAGCTCGGGGAAGCCACCAAGACTCACTGTGGCGAAACCGGTTCCTCTGCTTCCGACACCGAATCTCTCTGGAAAAAAATGGAGAAAAAAACTGGGAACAAAATGGAGGAGAAAAATGGGAGGAAAAAGAAGAAGGAAAAAAAACGTGGAAAGCCCCGAGGAATATGCCCGACCCGACAAGCTACCTGGAAACTGCCGAGGACCGAATCGATTCGAATCGACAAGCGTGCGCTGTCCTGGTCCTCCGGTTCTGCCCTGGCGATCACCACCTTGGGGTCCTGAACCGAACGTCGCGGTGTTCACTTCGGAAGCTTCGGGACCTCCGAGTTCAGCCGAACCAATCGAAACGGTGGCGCAACCAGCCAAGAGCCAATGATAGGCTCTGGCCAAATAGAACCTTAACATGTAAAAAAAGAAAAGAAAAAAAAGAAGCCAGACATAGAACATATATGATATTTGGTTCTGGCCAATCACACTTCAAACAATGGAAGTGGATGTTTTGGGAACCTCCCCAGAAGGAAAGTAGTCCAAACCAAAGCTCTTCCTTCAGCTTCCATGATTGTTGGTGGGAGGCTAGGGAACCTTAAAATCAGTCAAGTCCAGAGGGGTAGCTTCGGCCGAGCTGTTTGCAGGCAGAGTTGCGGTTGCACAGGTTTCGGAGACCCAACTAGAGGGAGCTCGATGCTTTTGATTGTGTCCAAACAAGCACAAGGGGAATTATGGAAAACCTTGAACCTGAACGATCACCCGGATCACTCCGCTGGAATCCCCCATTTCTCCACCCAAAGTTCCCCTGAAAATCGACGATCGAAGGGCCGACCTTTCTTCGGAGCCCCAGGGCCTGGGGCTCAAGCCCTCTTCTGCGTTCCAGGAGCCACTCTTTGCTTGAAACAAGGCCCTCGGGCCTTGTTTGAGCCACCCGGTGCCATGGGGCTGGAAAAAGCAAAAAAAAAAAAAGCGACCTCCAAGTGACAAATCCCACATTTGCGGGGGTCATTCATTCCTATCCAAGTCCTTCAAATGATTTGGAGTCATTCATTCCTTTTCAAGTCCTTCAAATTCCCACTGAACATCCCTGGAGTTCAACCGATTCCCATATGAACGACCTTGATCCAATTTAGATGACAAATCCTGAAGGGTGCGTCGTTTTTAGGATTCGCGGTGTTGCTTTGGGTGGCCTTCCAAAACAACCGCAAAAGGAGCACCAACCCCAAAAAAGACACGCCCATAACCAACCCCATGGATTCTTGTTCATGGCGGCAATGCTGCACCTAAACCCAGTCGCAAAAACCGAACGCAAGTTGCTGGCTCCTTCTTAATTCCTTTTCCCCCGCACAAACAAAAAAGAACCACCAAAAACTCCCCACCTCCCCCACCCGAGGAAAAAACCGCGGACAGCGGAAGCCGAACGCCGCACGGCGAGCACGCTGCGCGGTGCCCCGCGGGCGCCTCGAAGGTGAGGCTGAGCAGGAAGTACCGCAGCAGCGTCATGGCGCGCAGCAGCGCCAGGGCCTGGATGCCCCAGCTCCTCGGATCGAGAACATAGCTGGCCTCTTGGAAACATCGATGGGTTTCCCTGGTAAATGAACCGAAACCCATCTAAACCAAAACCATCTATTTTTAACCAGGCTCACCTAAAAAGGACACCTATGGGCGAGAAACGACTCGACGCGGGTTTCGCGCAACGGCGCGAGAAACGGCGAGAGAACGGTGGGGGGTGTCTTTCTCCTGGTTTTGAGGAAAGGGTTTAGGTTCCCCAAATGGGGGTGGGGGGGGAAGTTGGAAGACCACACTAAAAAACCACCAACCTTTTGGAGGTTCCCCGATCTTGAGACAAACCCATGCTGAACCACCAACCAATGGACCCAGCTCTTGTGGACTTCCTTTGTCGCTGCTGCATGTACCGGTTTGATCGCCACTTCGCTGTGGCTCTTCGGCTCCCCTCTGCCACTTCGGGCTGTTTAAGAAAGGGAAATGGAAGAAGCCCCTGCTTGTGGCCACCTGTCAAAGTCAAACGACCGGAAATGCACTTCATGCCTCTCTGCATGGTGCTGGTAAACCTCAACTTGGGACTTGTTTGAAGGATGGCAGTTGTTGGTGGGGATTCCCAGAGACTAGATCAATGCTCTCAGAGGGGTAGCTTTCCTCGAACAATCACGAAAGTGGACAGCATGGGTTGGGAAGAAAGTACTAATAGTTGCAAAACAAGTACTAATAGTTTACCTCTATCATCATGACCAATTCGAGCTGTCAAGTACCCCACACACCCATTGTAATTCTTTGGCCCTACCAACATCTGAAGTATTCACCTTTGCGGCACCACTCCCAGTCAAGTTTTGGTCTCAGCGCCCGACCATGCTACGTAGTTCATGTAGAAGAGCGTGCAGCCTGGAAAAGCTTCGGGCAGCACGGTCAGGATCTCCTTAGAACAAGCCCCCGATACGTCCGAAAAGACCGAGCGCTTTGCAATTTCGGGACCTGGCTCAAAATCGAGCCGATCTGCACTCCCACCAATTAACATTGAACCTTCGTGCCAGGTTCCATGTCAATTGGTGGGAGGGCGACACAAAAGAACAAGACACGTGCAAGTCTCTGGGTCTTAAATTCCGGGTGGTCAACATTAACATGCAAAAACAAGCCGAAGCCTCGCTGTCGTGCCCTGAGCGTTCACCGCCAAACTGAGATCTTCATCCGACCTGAAACCATTCCTCCACGGAAGGGAGGAAAGTGGCCCCCTGTCCAGACCAAGCGTCTTTTGGATTTTTCAAGAGGTAGCTGATGGTGCTGGACAAAGACGTGCCCACAGATGCAATGAGCAGCACGAAGATGGCCAGGTAAACGTAATACCATCTTTGGAGCATATACCTGGCTTGAGATAGGGGAACCCTTTATTCGGATTTTGTTTACGTGAACACCCTTACTGAAATCTTCAAGTTTCATGTAAGTCCGAAACCTAAAGTAAGAGATGCCCAAGCAGAGGACCTGCAGCATGGGTTGCTCACTAGAAGTAAACCCGGATCGCGGAGCTCTCCCAAAAAAGCAACAGGCTGGATGCTGAACTTTGTGTGCCTACCGGCTAGCATCAAGGCGGGTGCTCTTTGGCTTGAGACCACTTCCCATCCTTCGGACGGTGTGGAGCCTTCGCTTTCCGGAAGCTGGTCAAGCTCAGGCTAACGGGGAACATTCCCAACCAGGGCCACCTTGGTCATATCCTTTCCGGGGAAAACAACACAAAACAAATAAATAACCTTGTGCGATCTTGAGATCATGTTGGCAATGCCAGAGCCATAATAATTGAATGGTGGTGTGCATTTGGGATGGGCCAAGGACGAGTTGGCGAAGCTTGCGACGGGTGCTGTTCTTCAAGGGTTCCCGCAACCATTGAAAGGGCAACCCTAAGGATGCACCCTCGGGCACATCCTCGGGGTTCGACAGTAGCCATTGACACAGCGTGGCACTGGCAGCAGAAGTCAGGCCAAGTACAAGTACCACGTGACCCCTTCGAAATGAAAGTTGAAAGTTCAACTGGATTCGCCGGTCTAAGTTCGGTTCAGGCGGTTCTTCCAAAAGGACACCACCAAAACCATCGCGAGATCCAAACCTGCCGCGCGCATCGCGAGAGCTCTGGATGGCACCTCCCCAATCTGTGGCAGGCAAGGCGCTGGAGCATGCCCCGCGCCTGACAGCTTGACGGCTGGCACTTGAGAGACTTAAGTCTGGGGGCTCAAAATGGAGTTCGGATGAGTTCGGAGCCCTTCTTTCCTTGATCCTTTTTCGGGGAAACCACCCATTGACCGGGGATTGGGAACCCGGCTCCAAAGTCGGACCCCTTCTTCTGATTTGGTGTGGCCGCGAATAGTCCCTATGGCTCTGAAGTAGTATATGATCCCTCCCGAAGCCTGAGGTTGCAGATGTGTGAAGGGAACAGAATCAAGAAGTCGGTGCCATTCGAAAAGAACGCATGTTCGTTGTATGTATCTACATATATAATGTATATTACGTGTGATTAAATATATATTCATACATACATATATACCAGAGAGAGAGAGAGAGAGAGTGTGTGTGTGTGTGTGTGCGCGTACATCATTTACATCATGTGCATGATTTGCAACCATATACATGTGGAGGTCCACCAACCATTTCGGAGGTTTCCCCGCTCGTGTCCAGAATATGGACATGCCTGCACATGGGGGGGCTAGGGCGGAATTGCGTCTTTCCATCAGTCAAGGCTTTCCGATCAATGCGCTGTGGGTCAAAACCAACGGTACTATTTTGGGGTAGGTGCACCACCCATTTAAGTCTATTTTAGTGGGGATTGGGATGTTCACTGGTGGTACGGGATTTTGACCCATGGCCACTGGAGCGCACGCCTTGAGGACGAAGAAGGTGCAAATGATTGACGCCATGATGGAGCACAGGATGCTCATGAAGAAGTTCCTTGCATGGAGAAATCTCACAGACACGAAACACAGCGAGCGAGCGGTCAATATATGGCCATTTGGCATAACCTATGGCTCCATTTTGGGGTGGATGAACATCCACTTGCCACCTACTTTGATGTTCACCAGGGGTACAGGGTTTTGACCCACAGCCATATGCAGTAAGCGATTTGTTGCGGACATGAAGCTGTGATCCAAGTGAGTCGAGGACTGTTTTTGGCCCGAGGTCTCAAATCCAAAAGGGCAAGCTTGCTGTGGTCCGCCTCTCTACGTGGGAAGAAGTACACTGTTCAGCTCAAAGAGGTCTCAACACACTATTCCCAGCAGTTGCAAAACAGAATTTATGAAAAACAATGCGTAATGGCCGCACAATCATCACGCACCCATTTTCAAAGGTTGGGCACCTCCCTCAAATTCAGCTCGGCGTCAGGAGCGCAGGCCCCACCAGGGCATCCCAGAAGATTGGAGCCGCCTGAGAACATGCTCGCAGCAGTCGATCAAATCTACTGCACGCTGAAGAAATCAATATCATGTTAGCCCCGGATTAAGCAGAACCCCTAGTTGATTTTGATTGGGGGGTGTCCCCTTTTAGTGGGGATTCAGACCACTTTTGGAGGGGTCCCCAAAATTTTCCCCACCCCCCTAATAATGGGACGGGTGTATTAATCCTGGGTCAACATTACTTTCCATTGTCCTCCCACATGAACCCAATTCCAAACCGTCTTTTTTTTTCCGCAAGGAAGGCCTCTTTCGTCTGAAAAGTGACCAGCCGCGTTTGACCTTTCGGGGGAGCAACAAACCTTTGGCCATGTCAGACTCAGGCGCCTGGTTCCTCTTGGCCCAGTGCGCGACCGATGCGTAGTGGCTCCTCAGCCAGCGTAGCCCCGTCTCTCGGCTGCTGGTAAAGTTGAACATGGCGCTGAGTGGGGCGAGTACGTATCACCGTATGTCCATATTCCCCAACTAAATACATTACATTCCATTCCACTCCATTCATTCCATTCCATTCATTACATTCATTACATTACATTAATTACATTAATTACATTAATTTCATTCCATTACATTCATTACATTACAGCATTTTCTTGGCCCGCCCCCCCCCCCCCCGCCGCCCCCACGGCAGCGGCTTTGCTTCCGAGGCGCTGAAAGCTGGCCGCGTGGCTGGCGCCGCTGATCACCACCACCTCCGCAGGGAACCGCACCGGCCAAGGTGGTCCTCTGGCTCGTCGTATCTCTTTTTTGGGGGAATGAGACCCCCGAAATTGTAAGGTGGTAAGGTGGTAGGTGCTTTTTGGGGGGGACCAACCCCCCCAAAAAAAAAAGAAGAAGATGAGTCGCCCCCCCAAAAAAAAGAAGTTGGTGAGTGGGGAAGAGCTTCCCAAATGGGGGGGGGTCTCTTTTTTAGGGCACCCGCAAAATGGTGGGTTGTCCTGTTGCTGTCCTTTTAAAAGGCACAAAAAGGGGTACCCTCACAAGAAAGACCCGTTGCCACATGAACAACTCTCTCACACACACACACACGGGTATGTCTCAAAATAGGGAACCCCCCACAATGGCTGGCTTTCTTTTGGTGTCCTTTTCAACCAACCCTTTTTGGGGTCCCCTCCCCAAAAAAAACGAGCCACACACACACAAGTCAACCTTCATATCCACAGTGTGGTTGTTTGAACCCAAAAGCGCGGCGGACCGGGTCAAAAGACACCAAGCGCATGGGTCTGGGTATGAAATGAGTGTGTCCGTTTTCGGGCACCCCGAAAATATATGTAGTGTCCTGTTCCCTTTGGTTTCCCATTAAAGCCATCCAGAAAGGAGCACCTTGGCCCCCCACAAGACCGATCCACTTTGTCCATGGGTGTGCCTTCAGAAAAGAAACCGATGAGCCATGTGTCGGGTGTTCAAACCATAGGAAACCATGCTTAAAAGGGGGCAGTGCACTTAAGTGGTTGGCAAGCCTGGTCACAACCCCCGTTAGGAGACTCGTAAGATATAGCCATGGTGACTTCTCACTTACCTGACATACCCTATCGCCCCTTTAAGGGACCCGCTTGTCCGTGTGTGTGTGTGTAAAAAAAAAAAAACTGAGCTCCGTGCCACTGGGATGAAGAGCACAAAGAGGAGCACCAGCAGCACCACCCCGAACAAGGTCCAGAACCTCTGCCTTCGAGTGGTGTCCCCTTGACCCGCTCCAGAACCCCATGGTTCCAGGGGGGGTACCTTCCAATTCCATTTTTCTCCAGGGGATCCTTCTAGACAACCTCCGGAAGCCCAGGGAAAACGGATCCGAATGGAAATCAAGCCCTAGGAATGGTTTCCCCGTACCCACAAGAACCCGGGCTTCGAAGCCAAATCCAAACCCATAGGGCTTCCGGATTTTTATGTACTACGTCGGTCGGTGTTGAGTGGGAGGACAGTCTTGGGTGACGTAGAACATACTCCTCTGCGCCGTCCTCAGGTCCCCCGCCAAAAGTTAACTGTCAGTGGGGTTAAATAGGAAATCCAAACCACCCAACACCAAACACTAAAAAGCAAAAAAAAAAGAAAGGGGAAAACGCTTAAGGAACGCCAAGCCCAAAAACCATGGCTCCATCGTGGCCCTCCAACCAAAACCAGATCCGTCGCCGAGCCGCGAAGCCGGGGGGGCCAGGTCGCGCCAGATGATGTCGTCGGGGTCCGGCGGCAGCTCCGCCTCAAGCGCGCGCGGCTCCCGTGAAGGTATTCCGTTGGGTTTTTGGGATCCACCCTTGGAGGGTGCCGGTTGTCTTTCTTGGCACCCGGCTGGAGGAAATGACAAGAACTGGTTTGGAAATAAACCATTTCCACAGTCTGAGAGAGCTTGGGTTCCACCAACAAACAGTTTCAGGTTTAACTCTTTCTTCGCACAGGCTCAGGAGAGCAATGTGACGCGCTAAGCCAAATGTTTTTTTCCTGCTCCGAGGGGCGACGATGTCTTCGTTGCCACCGGGGGCAAAGAGCTTCAGCACGATGACCGCATCGTGCCGGTCCTCGAAGGTCACGAACCTCAGAGCGGTTCTTCACGTCGCGCCCGCCAGGGACGTGGGCCATGGGTTTTGGACCCAAATCGTAGCGTGAACATCCGATTCAATCCAACCACTAAAATAGGTCCTAAAATGGGTGCACCGAACACCCCAACATGGGATCTTGTGGGTTTTGAACCAAAAACCCAGTGGGCGCATGCGAGCGGCACAACGTTCTGATTGTGCTCGTCGCTCTTCGCGATGATCTCCTGCTGCTTGGCCACCTGTGCATCCACCTGGCGCCGTGTACCGCGGGTCCGGTACACAAGGTTCGAAAACCACAAAAATGATACTGTCGATCGTTTCGCACCACTTGGTAACCATGGTTGAAACCAGAACGTTTCTTGGTATTTACAAGGGGATTCATCATTTTCCAGGGTTTCTGAACGGTGGTGCGAAATGGAGTTCGCAACCATCCACAGTGTGTCAACAACTAAATGGAAAAAGCTACTCCTGATGATTTGGCCACGAGTCACAACCCCCTACCCCCAGTGAACATCCGATTCAATCCAACCACTAAAATAGGAAGCCTAAAATGGGTGGTGAACTCACCTGCCAACCAAAAACGGGATCCCCTTGAACGGTCTAACGACCACAGCCATTTGGGGGCCCAGACAAGTGGATCAACTCCACAGCGCGTCAGAAGCTGTGGCCATGGCCAAAGGTCCGATCCCCCCGCGGCCTCCCAAAAACAAAAACAAAACGATGGTTGTCTTCCTCCCACAAAAAACAAAACGATGGGGTTGTCCTTGGAAAATGTACCCATTCATCGTTTTGTTTTTGTGGGAGGCAAAGGGGGATCGGACCTTTGGCCATCGCCGCATTCATCCTGCGGTATTCTTTGCCCGGAAACGATGGGAAGCCGTTTGGAACGCACGAGTTCTGGCCCCGCCTTTTTCAACTCCGCTCCCGCCACGGCTTTGCGCCGCTCGTGCGCGGTGCCCTGGGCGCGCGATCCGAAGCGGTTGGGCTCTTTGATGGACTCCATTCAAAAGATGTGTTGTTGACCCTTTGGTGGATGAAAAGCATAGGGAGTAATGTTGGCCCCATATTGATCAACCCCGATTTATTAATAGGGGGTGTCCGGGGTGTCCATGGGTTTAGTGGGAATCAGACCACTTTTGGAGGGGCCCCCACCCCCCTATTAGAATATGGGGTAGTAAACATTCTTGGGACGTGTATCCACCAAACCCGTCTCAAAGGCGCACCAGTCATACCGTTTCGAACAAAGTCTCTGTGGAAACTGCTATAGCAAAGCAGATAAAACCACAACTAGCTATGCAATAAAACCACAAGAAGCCATGTATCCCCGCCTGGACGATCTTCTGCAGCTCCTGCCACACGAATCACACGAATCAGGCCATGCAGCTCCAGTCGAAAACGCCACCTATGCTCGACCTCGGTTTCCCCCCCCCCCCAAATCGGCTGATCTGGTCAGAACTTGCTCCAGAGCTTGCTCAATTCGGCCTGTGACACTGTGGATGGACGAAAACCATTTCGCACCACCGTTCAGAAACCCTGGAAAATGATTCGAATCCCCCAACGTAAATAGCAAGAAACGTTCTGGTTTCAACCAGGGTTTCTTAGGTGGTGCGAAATGGATTTCGTCAGTGCCCATGTCCAATTTCTTGTTGGAAGCCATACCCGGCGACAATGTCACAAGCGCCCGCAGCGCCACCATGGCGACCCGTCCTCAGCATGGCGCTCGCGCTCCTTGATCAGCGGGCCCAGCAGACTGGTGTCCTTCAAAAAGTCCACAGTCTTCACCACCTGGCCTGGGCTGCGTTCCGCTCGAGAAACAAACCAAAAGAGAAGTGGCTGCTGGAGCTAGGGAATGACCTTCCGAGGGTGTTGGGAATGAACCGGTTTAGGCGATTCCGATCAAGAAACCACGGGATAGCTTATAGGGGTCATTCCATTTCTCATTCCCTGAGAACCAGCAAGGAGATGTGTTGCCTGGGCGGAAACAACCAGAGCCATAACCCAGAGGAGCAAACCTGAAGGATTCTTGACATCCATATCTCAGTTGCCCCTTGGGGACCTCGGAAAAAATGTTCACCTTTTGGGGCCTTGACTAAACATGGATCAAAATGGGAAAACCAAAAGGTGAAAAGGTCGGCTTGCGGCTGAGATAAATTCCCCTCACAAGTAAAGCAAATCCACGGTCCTCACTAGGGGCGTTGCACCACGCCTTGTGCATGGACACGACTATGAATCAACGACCAAAAACAAAAGCACATGGCACCCAAAACCAGCCAATGAACCACAAAAGAACGCACATGGCGCCCAAAACCCGCCAATGAACCACAAAAGAAAGCACATGGCGCCCAAAACCCGCCAATGAACCACAAAAGAAAGCACATGGCGCCCAAAACCCGCCAATGAACCACAAAAAAAGCACATGGCGCCCAAAACCCGCCAATGAACCACAAAAGAAAGCACATGGCGCCCAAAACCCGCCAATGAACCACAAAAGAAAGCACATGGCGCCCAAAACCCGCCAATGAACCACAAAAGAAAGCACATGGTGAACCACAAAAGAAAGCACATGGCCAAAACCCGCCAATGAACCACAAAAGAAAGCACGTGGCGCCCAAAACCCGCCAATGAACCACAAAAGAAAGCACATGGCGCCCAAAACCCGCCAATGAACCACAAAAGAAAGCACATGGCGCCCAAAACCCGCCAATCAACCACACAAAAAACACATGGCACCCCAACAACCGCCTCCCACCGACCGAGGCGCGGCCGCCCTCGGACCCAAAGATCTGCTCCTGGAGGAACTCCCGAAGCGCTTGGTCCTGTCCGAGCCGGACAAACGGGACGCCTGTTGCTCGTTTCTGTGTTCCAGGGATCCACGCAATGGATGCCTCGGCCCCCTTACTGCCCCTGAAAAAAATGAAAAACGAAGTCAAGGGAAGCACGTAGGAGGTGTTTTGTTCTAAGACAAACCTTGCTTGTGCGTTTTTGTGCTGGGCGATTGTTGTCGGGGAAGCCCATGCTTTGGATATGTTTGCTGGAAAAGCATGTTTGGATGATGCATATTGGGGGCAAGCACTTGATTTGTGTTTTTGTACATGTGTTGGATGTGTTGTTCAAGGGAAACCCTGTTGTGGATTTGCATTGTTGTTTTCGTGTTCGCAATGGGTGTTACGCCCTCGTTTGTGCTCGCTTTTCTGGCAAACATTGCTTGTCGGTGCTTGTATGTCCTTCTGGAAACGCGTTTTCATGGACGCCCTTTTCCAATGTGTTTCGGAAAGAAAGAAACAAAAACAAAAAGCAAAACAGAGTTGGACGGGGTCAGGAAAACACGCATGGAACGCCTTCCCCTCTTGCGGCGTTTGAAGGTGGGCCCTGGAATTAAAAGAAGGAAAGAAGCCGTCCAAGACTCTACAAGAACGTGAATACACTTTGACTGGTGTGAGTCAAGGGGGATATGGCATGCGAAGCAACAGTAAGTTGGGGCACTCAGGTGAAAACGTGTTTGGATCATTGGGCACGGATGCCGCAGAGCCCAGCAAGCTGCAACATGCGGATTTATGTATTCTGAGAAAGCCTTGATAGGGGCATCATGCACCACGAGATTTACATCTACCAACCATTTGGGTGGTACCCCTTGTTGGTTGGTTAAAAAACAGGAAAACCAAAAGGAAAGCCATCATCTCGTGGGTCCCCTAAAAAAGACACACCCATTTGGGATTCCCCATTCAAAACCATGTCCTTACAAAGGTCGTCCGGCAGATTGGACAGCAGCACAGAAGTCGCCCTCGGCTCAGGCATGGTCCTGCTCACGGATTGTTTTTCCCCAAATCTGGCAAGTTGACAACTTCCATTTGGTTAAGGCCCCAGGAAAAATATAAAATACTTCCAGTAGTGAAGAATTATTTTTAACACCAACAAGGTATATATTCTTGAGCAAATGGAGGACAAGACTGTGTTCGTCTCAATGACTAGCCTGGCTTTGGTTTGGATTCGGTTTCGGCTTGGTTTGATTCTGGTTGGTTGTGCAATCGTTTGGTTTAGTTTGGTTTGGTGTTGCCTTTGTGACAACTTATGTGCTCATTCCTCGTTTGACCTGCCACGAATTCCCGGGCTTCTCTCTCTCATGGCAACATGCTGTGTGTCCTTCCGGTTCAACTTGCAATCGATGGCATGTGCGCTTCTCTGCAACCTCTGGAAACCCTCTCGGAGTGCGCAACTCTTTCCCCCACCTCAAAGAGACGCTGAAGAAGCAAAAGCGACGCAGAAGGGGGCAAAAAGGCATTTGCGGGCTTTTCGGGCTCAAGAAGGTTTCGGATAAGCCCTCCAAACCCCCACATGATGTGAACCAAAGGTCCAAAGGGTCCAACCCAAATGCAATTCATACCCGGAGCCTTGCAAACTCTGTGGATCCCACTTGCCACAAGATCTCTACCTTCACACCTGCTCTTCCTTCGATGAGCAGGTGGGCTCCATTCTATGGCTAGCCCCAAAAAGCCCTGAAACCCATGGTTCATTCAATCCAAAGTTAAATAAAATAAAATAAAATAAAATAAAATAAAATAAAAATACTAATTACTTCGCTTCGAGCAACCCCCAACCTCCACATTCACGAGCTTACGACCGTGAACACGGTTGTGTGTTATCAAGCATGGTTTTCGAGTGGATTGGGGCCTATGACTGCTCAACAAGCTTTGCATTGAGAGCCTTATCTGTCTGTGTGTCAAACTCCACTTGTCTGCGAGCCGATCTTGAGAACTCAAGCATCGGTTCCGTTAGCAAAAGCCAAGCCCCTTCCAAAAAGAAACCCGACGGGGGAATAAAAACGAAGTTGCTTATTCACAGCCCAAAGCGACACAAAAGCATCACCCTTTCCGAGCCTCAGAGTACACTCAAAACCCAAAGGCAGCAACATGAAATGTAAACCCAACTGTGCGCCGGGCGGGACATTAAGCAAAACCAGACTGGCGAGCTGCTCTGGCGGGATACTGGCGGGATCCACGGGCGAGCCGCTCTGGCGGGATACTTGGTGGGATTCACTGGCGAGCCGCTCTGGCGGGATGCTCGGCGGGATTGACTGGCGAGCCGCTCTGGCGGGATACTTGGCGGGATCCACTGGCCAGCTGCTCTGGCGGGATACTGGGCGGGATCAGCTGGCCAGCTGCTCTGGCGGGATACACGGCGGGATTCACTGGCGAGCCGCTCTGGCGGAATACTCGGCGGGAGCCACTGGCAAGCCGCTCTGGCGGAATCCACTGGCAAGCCGCTCTGGCGGGATACTCGGCGGGATCCACTGAAGCAGCTCTGGCAGGATACTCAGCGGGATCCACTGGCGAGCTGCTCTGGCGGGATACTCGGCGGGATCCACTGGCGAGCTGCTCTGGCGGGATATCGGGTGGGGGGCGTGGTGTAGAAGCATCGCAAACGCGGATTCCAACATAAAAACATGTTAAAAACAAAAAAACACACAATAATAATAAAAGAACCGGGTTGAAGTCCCATCGGCCCGGCATTCCGAACTTCACGCCGCTGGAACCGCACTCGCGGCTCCGTTCGCTCCTGAGCCACTGGAACCGGCGCTGCACAAAGGCGCGCTGCGCCCGGAAGATGAAGGCCTGCAGCATTATTTTACCCGTCGCGGCCAAGAAGCGCGCGGCGCGGCACATTTGTCTCGAAAAAAAAAGGGCAGGAGGGGAAGGGGGGGGGGGAAGGCACCTTTGCTGAGTATAAAGAGAAATGGCTCAAAACTAGCAAAAAAAAACCTACTTTGAAGGGAAACCAAAAGGAAAAGGCAATTTCTTGCGGGTCCATCATGAAAAAACTCTGAGAACCTTGATGGGGCCTCCAGGAACCGGTCCTAGTCTCTTGCATCCTGGAGAAGATCTTGTCTTGTGTTGACGCTGTCCCATTTTGATGGGGATCCACTTGAGGCAAGCCCGGACGGGGCCGGACCCCTAAATCTGGTCGGGCCTCCTTTGTTTGCTTTCTTGACACCATTCCAAATGGAGAAACCATTTTTCGGACACCACAGAACGAGTATGGGTAACCGGCAGCGGTGCAAATAAAAACCTCTCTGGACGTCCAGGTTGTCCAAGGCTGGGTCAAAGAGACTGTTGCTTCCCTTTGACCGACCTTGGGGGGTGACTGTGATAGTGGCAAAATAATGAAGCCAGTCATACTGTGGAGGGACGAAATAAAATCCTGCACCACCTAAGAAACCCTGGAATGTTGATTCCCCTGTAAATATCAACAAACAATGGATTCCCGTGGTTTCAAAGTGGTGCAAAATTGTTGCCATTCTTCTGGAGAGGGTTGAGTTTTGACTGTGCCATGGCTCATGTGTCGGCAAAACGAGGCAAAACCCCGGGCTTTTTGGCTCAAACAACCCGCTTGCCAGGGAAACCTGCTGTACGCCTTCTTTCTTTGGGTGTGGGTCAAAATTAGTCACCAGGATATGGACCGCCATTCGGGATCTATGTTGGTGTCCTATTTTTGGCCCACAGCTATACCTTGCAAAAGGAACAGGTGTTCTCATTGGTCCTTGATGTCGCAGGGTCGGAAAAGCGGGCCCCTTGATTTCAGAAAGGCACCGAAAAACTGTGGTTGTGGAGGGCGCCAAGCGAAGTTTGCTAGGGAGTTGTCAAAAGCAGAAGTCCCATTTCGGACCAGCGGCCCGTGTTTTCAGGGGATTTCAAAAAATGGGGTCCATCATTTGACCCCCACTTCCAAGGAGTTTCTTGCTCCTCCCCCCCCTCTTCCCCAGGCCAACGCAACAAATCACACTCTTGCCTGTGTGACGATGACTGTGTACCAAACAAAGAAGGGAGCTGCATAGGTGGCCCAGCTGCCTTGATTCCAGCCAGCAAAGCAGTGACCCCTCACCAGATTTGGGGTGTGGGGGTCCCATTCCCGATGGATTTCGGACAAACCAAGTCACAACCTACCACTTGCCTTTTGAGACACGCGAAAGGAAAACCAGGCATGCCTAAAGTTTGGACGTGTGCCAACCCTGTCTGCAAAACAGGCACCACCTCGCCGCGCAAAAGGAAATGAGGGTAATGAGGAAGGAGTTGTTCCGCGCATCCCCGGCCACCAGTTCAGACCACTCATGGCTCTTGCGAACGCATATTCTTTTCCAAGGGACTTCATAGGACAGGGTAGTTTTTTGGGGACTCCCCATTTCCGCCGAACCTGGCGTGAGGTGTGGCATGCTTCGGGGTGCTTTTGTGGACCAGAGGCCGTTGCGGGCTGTTTTCCCTCGGGGCGGTTGACCGGGTCCCTCGTTCCAAACATTGGAAGGGGTTCTCCAAAATTACTTCTGGGACGCAGCCCTCCAAAGCACCAGGTTGACTCTGTCCGCTTTCAGATTCCGAGCTAAGAGTCTCCACCTTTCAGATTAAGTGGCAATCCAACCACTAAACCAACTAAAAACCACCCAAGAAGCCATGAAACCGGGTGTGGATCACATGGACATTCAACCACTAAACCGACGAAAAATCCCACAAGCTCAGGGGGAACATCCCCGGAACCGCCCAGAATTTCATGGACACCTAACAAGCAAACCAACCAAACCCACCAGTTCATGAATCTGGGAACCGAACCAAACACCTAACAAGCAGGGGGCACATGCCGATGGACCGGTGAACCCATGGGCCGCGTCGCCCTTCGCCACGTTGGAGAAGCTGAACATCGCCAGGGACGCCGGCAGCCCACCGCCCGCGAAGGCGTAGATGGGGCAAAGGATCAACAGCGCCGGGAGGCCTGTGGACCTGACGTGGGGGTTGATCCCGTGGATGCCCCCGACCTTAAGGAAAAGGGGAGGGGGTGGGGGGTCTTCCGATTCTATTTTTCTGCCTTAAGGGGGGTGGGGGGTCCTCCCAGTTGGTTTGGTGGTTGGATTTCCATGTAACCCACATCTGGTTCTGTAGCTTCTTTGATTGCTTCTAGGTGTTTTAGTGGCTTCTTATTTTCCTAGTCTTCCCCAAACAAATGTGGAACCAATGGACTTTCAGGGCTCACCGCCCGGTTGAAACATCACCTCTTCTTGCTGGCTTCCCCCATCCGACGGATCAACGCCCACAGCCTCCATGTGTCCATGGGGTTCCCCAATGGCCATCCAAAAGGACCTTTTGATCAACCCCCGCATCCATCTGAAGGATGATTAAACCAATCCCTGGTATGGGAATCCTGGAAGCCCAAACCATGGCCAAGGCGCCCAACCCCCCCTGCCCAAGAAAATCACACAATGATTGGAAAAAAAAAGAAAAAGGAAAAAACATGCTACCACAAGCCTCCGCTTGGTTACGCTACGGGATTGCGAAAACTTGGATTTGTGTGATACCACTGGAATCCCATCCCCAATTTTGAGTTTGAAGGGGAGGTTCCCATCGCAAAAGTGGTTCCCCCGCTGATTTCTAGAACGGCATGGCACGAAATGAAGAGCTGAGATAGTGGTGAGAGATGTAGTGATCGGTCATTCACTCCATTCGCACGCCGTGTTGCCTGCATCGAACGACACACTGTTATCGGACGTAGGGGATTCCCAAATGAAGCCCGTTGAGGGTCCTCGAAGCTGTCGGGAGTTTGATCCTAAAGGCAAAAGGAAAGCAAGCCCATGCTCTACTCCTTGAGAGTTGGTGGACGGTTTTCCACAATCATCGTTCTTTTCCAAAACCTGCCGTTCTCCCTGGGTTTCTGGAGGTTTTCTGGAAAGAAGGATCCCTGGAAAGAATGGAATTGGAAGGTACCCCTAGGGTTCCGTCAAGAAAAACACACCGAGAAGGTCAGGTGGGTTTCTCCTGAGGCGTGGACAGCAAGCACATGATCGCCGCGTCGCAGAATTGGATCAGCATCCCGTGATCCAGGTTGGAGTGGTTGGCGATGTCGTCCACCGGGAAACTGGGCGCAGCCAGGCCATGGATCCCAAACGGCAGGGTGGATGAACCCACCCACCCAAGAGGGTTTCCCTAAAGGAAGACAAGGTCTGATTGATTGAACGACCTTTCCACAACCCCCACAAAGCCTCCAACCAAAAAACAAATACGGCGCTTCCCAAAAGTCCAAGCACCCAAAAAACAACAACGAAACCCGCAAAATTGCAAGACCCCAAAACCTCACAACCCCAAAAATATGTTTTTCAAAAAAGGAAAAAAAAAAAAGGAAAAAAAATAAAAAAAACGAAACCCGAACAATAACAAAACCCCGAAACGCGAAAAGCCCGGAAAATCACAAAACCCCAAAACCCCAAAACCCAAAAACCCGGAACAACAAAAAACGGAAAATAACAAAACCCCAAAACCCCAAAACCCCAAAACCCGGAAAATAACAAAACCCCAAAACCCCAAACCCCGAAAAAAACATAACAAAACCCCAAAACCCCCAAAACCCTCAAAACTCCGAGGGAAAAAAACAAACCCCAAAACAACCCGGAAAAAAAAGGGGGGAAAACGGAAAATAGCAAAACATCAAACCAAAACCCGAACCCCCCCCCCCAACAAAAAAACAAACAAAAACCGAGCAGAAGCGCCTCCAGCACACCGGTAGCCAGTCGAGGCATCCGCTCAGCTCCGGTGGCAGGTGCCCGTGGCTGCCCGGCTCCAGCGCCTCGCGACTGAGCGACTGCAGCCATCTGGACACCAAAAAGCGATCGATTGACATGTCTTCCATTTGGTTGAGACCCCCGTAGTGATAAATTTCCAGTAGTGATAAACAACAAGGGAAGCTAAAATTCCAGTATTGATAAATCTCAGGTGCTTTTAAGGCTCATGACCCCTCCAATGCAGGGCCCATAAGGGGCCCTCCAATGAAGAACCCGGACCAATTCCTCAGGGACCCTTGAAAACAACCCATTTTGAGGATTTGCCCAAAAAGCATCGGGAGCCTTAGGGCATTTGGTTGAGACCTCGTTGGTTGAGACCCTGTCTTCCTACTTTGGTTAAGACCCTCCGACCATTTCGTTGGTTGTTTTTATCTTCCTACTTCTGGAAAGATAACAGCATGTCCAGTAGTGATAAAATCCCTTTAAAACCAACAAGGGACAATTAAACACATATTCTTAAGCAAATGGAACCCAATGGGACCTGCGCGTTTCGGGGAACCGGTGCTAGTTTGGCAAAAGAAATCGTTTTAGACCGCAGTGTGGCAATCATTTTAGAAACGCTGGGTCCGAAACGATGCGGTTCCCTCCTGGTTTGGACCATCTGCCTTTTAAGGGTCCCGGGGCCCGAACGTGAGGTTCCATGGAAAAAAGGCGGGAGAGCAACCGGCAACCACACGGTGATGCTTGAACCCGAGGTAAACCAGGGAAGAAGTACGAGTAGGTTGCCAAAGAATCAGCAAGTAACCAATCGGTGATGTTTACTACCGACCCCAGCCAACCCCACCACAGCCCCCCCCCATCCAGCCCCCCCACAGCCCAACCCAACCCACCCAACCCACCCACCCAACCCACCCAACTTACCCAACCCACCCAACCCACCCAACCCACCCAACCCACCCAACCCACCCAACCCACCCAACCCACCCAACACACCCAACACACCCAACCCACTCTCAGCCCAACCCAACCCACCCCACCCAACAACCCACCCAACCCCCCCTCAGCCCAACCCGACCCACCCAACCCACCCAACCCACCCAACCCACCCAACCCACCCAACACACCCAACACACCCAACCCACTCTTAGCCCAACCCAACCCACCCCACCCAACAACCCACCCCCCCCCTCAGCCCAACCCAACCCACAGCACCAAACAACCCACCCACCCAACCCCCACCTCAGCCCACCAAACCCCCCCCCCCAGCTCCGCCCAAGCCAACCTGCCTTGTTGCCATACACCGCGGGGAACTGAGTCCGCAGACACCCGAAGCTCATGAACACCAAGAGCACCACCACCAGGCTGGTGCCGATCGACGTGCCCAGCACCACCAGCCCATTCCTGGCTGGAAATGAACTGGACACGGACCCCTTAGTGGAAGACCTCATGTAATATAAGGGCAATCTGACTCAGCAAGACTCAGCATCTAACTCAGAATAGACTCAGCATCTAACTCAGAATAGACTCAGCATCTAACTCAGCATTCCTGGCTGGAAAGCTGGAAATGAAGAGGAGCTGGAGTGGAGGACCCCTCCAAGTGAAGGACCTCATGTACTTGGAGGTGCAGGACCTCATGTAACATGAAGGGCTAAATCAGTTCATCTAACTCAGCATGACTTGATTTGGTGTCCCAAGTCTCACGCTGGCCCATTGTAGCAAATTGGGGAGTTGTGTCCACCACCTGTGTTTGATTGTGTCCTCCTAGACAATGGGTGGACTCCAATGGTAAACGATTAGCACGAAACTGGAAGCAGTGGAATCCAGATGTTGTCAAACCAACTCACTCACAAGTACGCTCACGGTGACGAACTCCGAGCTGCAGGGGAAAAATGAAGGGAACGGATGAATCAACTCCTGGTTGATTTCTCGACACTCGTGCCACTAAACAGGAGATCCTTCACTTGGAAATCTGCCGGGCAGATAATTATTTCCAGGGTCAACACTAGAGCCCATTGAAAGGTCACAAGTTCATTGAAGCACTGGAAACTTCAGCCAAACCCACAGGCCAAGGGGCTGGGGAACGACAGTGGCGCTGCTACTGCCAGTGCCGTTCCCCGTAGTGCTGTTGGTGCTGTTGGTGCTTGCAGTACCGTTTCCTGCCGGCCGGTCGACGTGTGAGGCCCAAGAGCGAAATTCCCCAAGAGCAAACTCGGAAAAGGATTTGTTCTGAAAAGAGAGCCACAGAAAAAAGCGACGCCCTGTTGCTTCAACTGCAACCTGCTTGTCTGACACGTATTATCTTTTGGTTGTGGGTTGGGCTGAATTGTGGTGGGTGGATGGAGGTCTGATGTTTGTGTCGGATGCGTGTCTGACCGTCGCTGGCGGAGGGGCTGCTTTAGTTTTGTTCGTCCACCAGCCAGTCGACCAAAACCATCTAACCAACAAACCAACAGGTGAGTCACAATCAAACCCGGTATTAAAATCGGCCGCAGCTATTTATAGTTGGGATTGTCCCTTATTACTAACCTGCATCTACCCGACAAACCAACAGGTCGAGGAGACGACGCTACTCACAGAGCCAATGAGGGAAGAACCTGTTGTTCCAGAAATCTCCCAAAAGAAATGGGTTTGTCCCCAAAACATGGGGGACTCCCCAAACATGGGCGGTGCCTGTTTTTGTTTCCCTTTTTTGTCACCTCAAAAGGGTGCTCCCCCATCCCATCCACCCAACATGGAGCCTGACTGGGAATTTATACACAAGAGCAACTAGAAACAAATGGGTTTGATTGGTCATCCACATCAAAACCGATTTGGGAGCACAACAAGCTTAGAATCATCCATCAATCATTAGACCCAAATGAAAAAAAATATCTGGAATACCCATTTTCCTCTCAGATGGCGACCCTCCGGTCGGTTCCCTTTGACATCCGGAACCCGCCGGCTGACCGCTCCTGGAACCTCGTCTTTCAGTCTCGCCTGGCGCGGGGCGATCTGACGAGCCTCTCAGCCATGAGTCGAGAACCCCACCCGAGAACCCCACAGCCGAGTCGGCCAAAACCATCAAACCAACAAACCAACAGGTGAGTCACAATCAAAACCCGGTATAAAAATGGTCGGACTCCCAGAAAACCATGCTTCAAGAATTAAGAAGCCGGAGATCCGCAGCTATGGCTGGGATCGTCCCTGACTAACCTTCATCTACCCGGGTTTTGATTGTGGCTCAGCCGGGGTTGCCCAAGTGAAGGAGCCTCTCGCCCTGAAGGGAACACACCGATCTTTTTTCTCACCACTTCGCCCTGCAAGCTGACCCGACCTCTAAACACAATACGCATTTGACCTTCAAAAGAAATGCAGACGCAAACCAATGCATACGTAGAGACACTGTGCATGGACCAAATCCTCTCGCAAGGATCCTCGTGGCTCGCAGACTCGCCTGGCTTGCGCTCAACAAAGCGCGGAGCAGGGAGGTCGGCGGCTGTACCTGCCGAGTCTAAAACCCTCGACAAGGACACTCGGGCCACCCCCCTTGTTCAAGGGAGCCTCCAAAAATCGGGTTGTCCTTGGGCGTTTCATTGAAAACCGGAAAGCCCACCAACAATCGGGTACCCAAAAAAGAAGACAAGCCCAGAAAACCCTTTTCTGGACGGGTTCACAAGTCTTTGGAACATGGTGGCTTGTTGGGGGCCGGCCAAAAGGACCCCTTTCGTCGGCCCCTGAGAGACACACCTAAATGCTGTGCTCCGCCTCTTTCGAGCTCAAAAAAACTCGCCTCCCGGCCAACTTTGGCGCCGCTTCTTGTGATACCAAGAGGAGGAATGTATGTAGAAACACACCAAAAACAGGACACCTACCGCAGGTAAGTTGAGCATTTCGCGAAGGAAACTGAAAGGAGGCTACCCATTTGAAAGGTCAAGCCACACTTGGGTTCCCCTTTTCCAGATAGCTCTGAAGGGAAATCACAGGTAAACGGTAAAAGTCGTCACAGGCCCCTTTCAAAATCGTCGCAGGCTCCGTACCATCAGCCATCGAAAAGGGAAGTCACGTGTTTGTTTGTTTTTGTTGTTGTGTTTTTCTTGGGGGGAGGGGGGTCCCAATCTCTCACTTCCGAGTGGATGGCCCAAAGCAAATCCAAACTTGTCGCTTTCCACCACTAATCCAGGGGTTGATTCCCTGTCCATTCTTTTCAGCCATCCTTCTTTTCAAAAAACCGATCGCCGTTTCCTTTCCCCCCCGGGTTTTTTTGGTGGGTTTTCTAGGATTCGGATCCCTGGGTTCAGCATGGAAATGGAAGTTGTACCCCTAGAAGTAAAATGGTCCCAACAACTTTTTTCAAGCCGCGGAACTCAGGAAGTGAGATCTTGAGACCCCCTTCGGGCGGCTGCATCGATTGACAGGCTTGAGAAAACCACCCGTTGGTCGCACGTGCGGCTGCGCGGACAGCTCGGCATCCTCGAACCTTAGAGGGGCGGTGGAGTTGTTCGTGCGGTTGGTGTCAAAGTGTTGGGTTTTTTTTTGTTTTTTTCTTGGGGGGGGGTCGCCCCATTCAAAAAGGCACGCCAAATGGTAAGACACATGCCAAATGGGGAATCCTCCCCCCCCAAGAAAAAAACCGCACACCCAAGAGTGCCCCTCTGCAGGAAACACCCAGCAAAAACTGGGTCCAACGCGACATCTTGAGACTTGTCCGTGCAAAGGAACCCCCCAAATGGAATTTCCGAAGGCAGAAAAGGATGTGCCTGAGGCAAAGGCGCGTCAGATCTCAGGCTCTCATCCACCTCAAGTTGGACGAGGCTTCAGCGTCCGGCGCCCGTCTCCCTAACTGAGTTCTCCTTCACTGCTCGTTGATGCAAAAAGCGGTGTGTCCCATGCGAGAGAGGCTGCTTTCCTTTTAGGGGAACACCCGGCTGTGTGTTTCTGGTGGCTTTGAGGGAGCTGGGTTTCAATGGCGGGGTTGGGGCTTTCGCTTGAGGGCTCTGGTGGCGGTTGATGGTTCGTTTCAGGGTGGTGTAGGGTTGCCTTATTCTCGGTTTAAAAACACAAATCACAAATAGGTTGATGGTAGTTGGTTTAGGGTAGGCTCAGGGTGAGTTTAGGCGTGTTTCGGGTTGGATCGGGGTGAGTCGCTGGTGGGTTTATGGTTGGTTCACGGTGGTTGGGTCGATTTAGGCTGGGTTTGGGATGGACTCGGGAAGGGTGTGGCAGGGCGCTGAGTAGGTTGATGGTGGGTTACAGGTTGGTTCTGGGTTGCTTCAATATCGGTATTGTGCTCATTTCGGGTGGATTTGGAGTGGGTTTGGGGTGGGTTCAGGGAGTCAGGGGGGATTTGGGACGATTCAGGGTGGGTTTAGGTGGATTCGGGGCGGGTTTAGAGGAGAGTTGATGACAGGTTTGGGGTGTCTTAGCCTTGTTTAGTGCATTTCAAGGTGTGCTTAGGGTGGGTTTGAGGTGGGTTTGAGGTGGCAGTGTGGGTGTACGTCGGTTTCGGTTGGCCGTAGCGTGCAAGTGTTGTCTCCATACGGAGCTTGTCTTCATTCATCCTTACTTTCTTCATCCCCGAGGCTAACTTTTCTCGAAACGCGTGCAGGAGCCCGTCACGGAGCAAGGACGGAGGAAGGGACGGAGGAATGGCCAGAATGGGTCCAGTTGGTACATCCCAAGTCATCATTCCCTCAGGAACGCAAGGGACTTTAGACTAGGTCCTCCAGTAGAGAGGTTAGAATAAGGGTACCCTTTTTCTGTAGCTTTTCTTAGTAGGGGAACCCTCCCCCAAAAAAGGGTAGGGGGACCTAGTAGAGTTTAGGAAGTGAGAAACATCCACTGGACCCCCCCAAACTCGCCATCAGCGGCTTTCCGAGAGCCATCCACTCGCGACTCGCCACGAAAGAGAGGGGTTTTTGCGTGCCGGTCGTTGAGCAGGGATCCGGATGCATTATACACCTGCCAGGCCTGACGGAGGAAGGAAGTGAGTGGTGAGTGTACGTTCTTTCCCTATCACACCCTTTCATCTCTGAGCCAATATTGGGAAGGATTAATGGGTGAAAGAAAGGGATAGGAAAGAGAATTGCAACTTGTCAATGCTAGTGTACCTGTATTTTGGTAGAGAAAGCCATGTTTCAAATGGCTGTGGCTCAAAACACCGGTTCCAAAATGGAACCCTGGTAAGTGGAGACATGGACCAAAACCTGCGTAACCCCTGCTGTTTAATTTTAAACCACATCCAAATGGGCAGAATGTATCTTGCAAGGAGCCCTGGTTGAGGCATCGGCTGAGTAGAGGATGGAGGCCGTCTGTATCAGCTCCACCTCTCGATGCGCACGCGTCACAAGTGCCACTCCAAGGGAGGGCTATGGCTGTGGGTCAAACCAATGGGATCCCATTTTGGGATAGGTGCACCACCCATTTTAGAACCTATTTTAGTGGGGATTGGGATGTTCACTGGGGGTACGGGATTTTGAGACCTGGTGATTTTGGAGACCTCAAGTGAACTCGTGCTGAACAGCTGCACAAGCAAACAAATGCCATGCCTGCAAGTCGCACTCCTCACTGCTTGTAACCTGAGCTGCGAATCCTGAATGGTTCTCTTCGATGAGAGACCCCTGTTGGATGCGCCAAACGGCAAACTAGATGCATGTTCTTTTTCCAAACCACGCCAACCCCCGCCAAAAACGGCGGAAAGGTCAGATTCTTCAAATGGTTGGTTTCCTGTGTTGTCCCTTGACATGGGGGTTGATCAAAAAGTCCTTTACATAGGATGACCATTCGGGAAAGCTACTAGAAGGATGTGATGTTTCAACCGCCACAGGGAAAAAGTTGCCCATGGTCAAAACTGGGTGCCCTAAATGGAATATTGATCCACCGTTCTGGCAACTCTAGGGGTACCTTCCAATTCCACTCTTTCTAGAAAACCCCCGGAAGCCCGATCGGGAAAACGCATCCGGCTTTTGGAAAGAACGATGGTTGAAAAGAATGGACAAGGAATCAACCCCTAGAGATGTGGGGATCGCCCCCCCCCAGAAGGACTAAGTGTCACCGTCCGGCTTTTGTTTGAAGAGAATGGACAAGGAATCAACCCCTGGAACAATTTGCTTCCCATCACTTCGCCTCCGAGCGGCGCACTGCTCCTCGCCCAGGGCAAGAACTAGCACTCCGAAGACCAGCACTCGTTGAGTCCGGAGCATGGAGGCACCATGCGATTCGGTTCGGTTTTCGGCTTTCTTTTCGTCGACTCGCAAGGTTGTGAGCTTGCTTTTTGCGTTTTACGGCCAAGGGTCAACGGCCAAGGGAGCAAAAAAAAAGACTTGTAGCGGTTAAGCGAACCACCATAAGCAAAACTGTAAAAAGTGTTTCCCAACAACAACCATGAACTAAAACGATCAAATCTCTTGCTCACAACCAAACGGTCTAAGACTTCGAGCCTCTGCGAAGTCTCAAAGTCGACCGAGAACAGCCTGGGTTGAATGAGGCCAACCCAACCTAGGCCTTTGGGAGGTGACCTGTGAAGCACCTGTGAAGATATGTGTTTTTCAACCCCCAAACAGACTTGCGCATCTGCTTCACAGGTTCCTTGAGATCGCTGAACCGAGGCCCACCCTCCCCCTCCCCGGTTTTGAAATCTGTAGGAACACCGACTGAACGACAGAATCATGAATCCCAACCTGGCTGTGGTTGTCAAAACCAATGGTACCATTTTGGGGTAGGTGCACTGTTCATTTTAGTCTATTTTAGTGGGGATTGGCATGTTCAAGGGGTACGGGATTTTGACCCATGGCCACCTGTGATGCAGAAAGTATCCACATACAAATCAGCCAAATAAGCACTCAAGTTGCTGGTCCTACACGGTGATGTGTGAAAAAACAATTGAACACGATGGACATAGACTGAGCCCCTGATTGGCTGCTGAGTTGACTGGTTAGACTTGAGGAGCGGGTGAACGAAAGCTAGCAGTTGTTGCATGAGATGGGTCGGTGACAGAGTGGATTCATAGGTAGCTTGTGTACAACGAGAGGCCCGGCAAGATTCGTAGGATGCGACACGCAAACGCACATGGTGGCGTGGCAAACCTTGAAAAATCAAAACAACGAGAGGCGTCAGAAGCTGTCTGAAAGCACCTCTGGGTTCTGCATGCTGCGTGTGCAAAGATTCTTGCAAGGTGGTTTACCGAGAAGACTGAGGTCTCAAATGAACAAGCTGAATCGGTGGAACATGTAAAAGTTCGTAGCACCAAGTCCAAAACGGGCAAACCGAGACTGCTGAACACTGAGCCACTGCCCGGGGGGGGGGGGGATGGACCAGGGAGGAATCGAGCCTGAGACCGGGGGGGGGGAGGGGGGGGGGGGTCTAAATAATTGATGTTTTTCAATCTTTTCGGCTCAAATAATTGAAAAAATCAATCTTTCGGCATTTGAGCCCCTTACCTTGCTTACGCAAGGAGAAACTTCAGCTAGCTAAAGCTAGCTTTCGTGAAAAGCTGGACTGCGTGACGTTGAAGAACCTGCAAACGAAAGTGGGAAGTCGGAAAACTCGTGTAAATTGGGCCCACACGCATGAGAGCACGCCTTTTTCTTGGAGGTATCACAGCTTGTTGGGATTGCAGTACAGGGCAACACCCATGGAAAACCAGCTTCGGGGATTCCCAAACAATTTGGAGACAAGGGTATGGCTCAAAATTAAACAGCTGGGCGTACGCGGGTTTTAGTCTTCGGTTCCATTTACCAAGGTGCCATTTTGGTACCACGTTTTTGAGCCACAGCCACAAGCCGGCATCTTTTTCCTCAGCGATCGCTAGAAGAGGCTCTCCACGCCCGCCTGGATGGTTGAGGAATCGAGATATGAATCTTCCAAATGCCCTTCATGTTATCCCCCCTCTTCAAGCTATTGGAGAAAGAAAAAAAAACACGACTTGTTGCCCCACTTTTTTTTCGACAGGGAAAAAAAACTGGCCCCCGGTTGAAACCGCGCCTGGATTTTGGCGAGCCTCTCAGAGGGCGTGCCCTCCAGATCTCTGAGCGCTCTCTTGCAGTTGAGGCCCACTTTGTCGGCGACCTGCTCCAAGTGGTGGAGCGTATATTCGTCCTGTGCTCCTCGCTGGGCTTTTTCCCCATATTTCTCTCATAGGAAGCAGAAGCCCTGGTCGATGAATAGGGAGGTGTCCCATTTGAGAGGGGAGCCTCCAATTGCGGGCAGCAGCACCCCCAGTGATCCACCAGGCTGGTTCATCCAAAGTCGACTGACTCCCCGAAAAAAGAAGAAGACAGTGGCGTTTTGGGAGACCCCAAGACTGGAGACCGTGCAATGCCGAGAGAGGGCTCCCAAGCGCCACTTGCGCCGGCAAATGGGCAATGCCTTGAAACGAACAACCAACTGGGCGAAACGTGCTGGACGAGTGCGGGGAAGAAAAGCAAAGTTCTTGCGAGCAAAAGCCAACTGGCTCGGACCTGCACTGTACCGTGCAACGCTCTCGGATGGGCTAGGTACCTCGCCTGGTGGTTGAGTGCAACAAGAGTTGCTACCAACTCATGAAAAATCACTGCTCTCAAGGTCACCCCCCACAGAGCCCAGCACCCAAATCCATCTTCCACGCGTCTCCTTTCTGGTCATCCTCACTCAGCGCATCGTTCACCTTCTCCCGGCACTTCACCCCTTCCGGGCAGCTCCAGTAGGACTGCGGCAGCGCTGGCAGCTCCATGTCGAAGAAGGACGCCTCCCGCCGAGCCAAGCCAAAGCCGGACAAGGATAAGGTCCACTCCACCTGGAATTCCAGGAACAGCTTGGAAAGACAAAGCACGGCGCCAGACCACCAAAACTCCCAAAGCACCCCCAAAATCCCCCGAACCATAGGCACTCCGGACCACAGAAACCACCTGCTGCCCCCAAACCCAGTTACCCAGTGGCCTGGCGCCGCGGGAAGCTCCGAAGCGCCTCAAAGTTTTGCCAAGTCCCCAAAAAGGGAGAGCGGTGGAAACGGGAAATGTTCTATGGATTGTGGTTAAAAATTTCTGCACCCTGCAAATGAGTCGGTTCGATTCCTGAATACCAAGAAACGTGATGGTTTCAAGCCATCTTTCAAAGTGGTGCGAAATGCGATTCGTCCATCCAGAGTGCCCCTTCTGAAGTGGCTATATATATATATATATATGTATTGTATATCTCGTTGCGGTGTGTGGTAGTGGTTTGGGGATAGTGGACATCTTAAGGCTCAGGAAAGCCTAAGATAGTTTGACAATGCTTCAGACCCTCAGCACAAAAAATCGTTCAAGATGCATGAATTCTCAAAGAGCAGGAGTCTATCCCATGTGTCTTGAGTGCTGCACTGGACTGAAGTGCACATATTTGCTGCAATGCCCCACTAAATACCTGCAAACATAGGCGTCCTTTTTGGAAAATAGATGGCCCTGGTTGATTGAACCACCGATTTGGTAAACCAGGAATCGCCTTCGATTCTTTAAGCCAAAACAAAAAGGACGCCTCCTGGAAAATACCAAGCTTCGCGGGCTGAATGGTAGGGCCTACGGTCTCGCCAGCTGTTTGATAGATTTGTGCAGGAGTCCCATCCAGAACATATTTTGAAGGCATACCCTCCCTCCAAACATGGCACCTAGAGGGTCCCTTGAGGAGCAACTTGATCTTCCAGGTCTCCAAAGGTGCTATGTTAGTGGGAGAGAGGGTATACGGAATGGCTTTTATGGATGCTGTTGCTTGAGACAGGTTGTGTAAGCTAGTATCACTTGCTTATGCCATGGTCATCAGCTTGGTTTGGATTCCACTGCAAATGTGTGGCAGCACTTTCGCAATATGGGTGGAATAAGGGGATGAGGCCAATTTGTACGCTTTCTCGGAGAAACAATGACTTGGACATGGAGAGCTTACACTAGAATCTGGCTTCTGTGAATTGTGAGCTTCTCAAAAAGCTGTGGATCTCACCACATGTACAAAGCTTGTAACAAATTCAGCCAAAGTGAGTCTTGCCTTTGCTCGACTTAATCAGCACAGAATGCCAGCAATGTGATTATTGATAAACCGAGCTGCAGAGTCATTTCCTTGTATTCATGGCATGTACAATCATATCTTGGACGCAAGGGGCAAGTGGATTCCAATGACTTTTGGCAGGAACCCTCCCGGGAAGAACACTCTGGGTTTACTCAACACCTCCCTGCAAAATGATGAACATGGGAATGATTTTGTTGGGTTCCATGTCAATCTGCAGGGGCAAGTGGCTTCCGTCTATGTTGGGCAGGAACCCTCCCTCGAACAGATTCCAACCAAGACAACCTTGTGTCAGGTGCCATGGGTGAGAGAAGCATGAGGGGGGCGGGCTTCCGCTTCCCCCGTCAAAACTCCTGGGGTCCCGTGGACCCTCCCTACCAGGGAGTTGTGATCCTATGGCCCTGAAGCCACTTTGCGTTTTCGGTGAATTCACCACCCATTTGGTTCAAAACCCACGGGATCCCATGTTGGGGTTTTCGGTGCACCCATTTCAGGACCTATTTTAGTGGTTGGTTTGGGATGTAATCACCGGGGGCTAACCGATTTGGGTTTTGACCCATGGCAGGTGCCGTAGGTGCGTGTCCTTCTCAGGTGGGGTTGAAGGGAAACTACAGGGAAAAGCCAACCTGCAAGAACTCCAACATACCCCTCCCATGATCATTGCTTTCATTCGGGGTCCAGGGTATGCTAAGGTATGTTGGAGACTTCTTGGACCCTTTCTTTGGGTCCCCCAATTTGGGCATGAATTTTAATCCGGGACCCTTTGCTGGACATCATTTTAGGGATTTATGTCCGCCTATCACTTTTGAGGTGGTTCCCTATTAAGATTCTGGACCTTGGGGGAGTAGCCGCAAGTAAACTTCACCGGCTCCAATTTTTGGGGGGGAGGAAATTCCCTTGAGGCCGTTTTGCCACCTTGGAACCAAATCACGGCCCACGATCCCCGCACCAAGCTTCGAAGCCCGGCGTCAGCATCTCCGGCGCATCCACGCAGGCGAAGGCGGCAAGGTGCCGCGGCATGGCGCCAGCTTTCGACAGCCGCGGGCAATGCGGCAAGGAACCGCCGAACCGCAGGTCTTAGAAGTCTTAGACGTTTGGACCTACTGTGGATGGACGAAATCCATTTCGCGCCATCGTTCAGAAACCCTGGAATGATGGTTCCCCTGTAAATACCAACAAACAACGGTTTCAACCATGGCTTCAGGTCTTAGAAGTGTGGACCTATGACCATAGGTGGCCTTTTGGAAAAATCGATGGGTTCCCCTGGTATATGGAACAAGACCCATCTAAACCAGTGCCAGGCTCACCCAAAAAGGACACCTATGCCTATGACTTTTGGGGTGGGGTCATTTTGTTTGGTTGAAGGGGAGAAAACCACTAGCAACCGAGGCCAGTGTTCAGCGTAGCTTGAATTAGTTGGATCAGAATCACATCCACCAAACATGTTTGACGATGTTTATCCTTGACAAACGTAGAAATCCAAGGTTTCCGAAGAACCCGAGTTGAACATCTCGCGAAACATTACTTGACTTCAGTTCAGACTGTGCAAGCACGGAACTCACAGGCAACGTTCCTGCAATTGCCGACAGTTTCGGGCTGACTTGCAACAGTTCTGCTGGAATGCCAGCATGCTCTCATCTCCCAAGTAGCTGGATTCTTTTTTTGGGAACCCCTGTGAGGCTCACGAGCATCAAACGCTGCGGCAGTTGCCGCTCCAAGCTCTCGTTCTGGGGTTCCCGGGAGAGAACTGCAGGGAATCTGGTGCCAGCCATTTTCTCGCAACTCAAGTGCTCCAAGACCTCTGCCAGCTCAAATTAGCAGACCCCAAGAAAAGTGGAGGGTGTTCTGGGTATGTGTCAAAATAGGAGACCCAAAAAAGGGGTTGTTGTGTCCTTTAAACCAAGAGGGTCAAAAGAAAGTGCGAGTTTGCTCGCCTTGTCAACCACTGGGTTGGGCAAAGTTGGTCGAAGCAAACAGCCGCCATGACCCCTAACAAAAACGCAAAGGAGGTCGCCTGACACCGTGGGCTTGAACACATTTTGCTCCAAGGGATTGGACGGTCCCGGCGCGCAATTCTGACCCACCTCGCCATTTTCTAGCCTCCTTGCTGCTCCTCCAACAAGTTGGCCATCCGCGCCATGATGGTGAGCTTCAGAGTAATCCAAAAGAACACCCCCAGTGCGGCACCGTAGAAGAAGTTCCTGAGTCGCAAATTCAAAACCCGGTGCCTTCCTTCCCCCAACATGGCAATCTGGAGGGCTAACTTCTTGAAGTCATGTTCCATGTCGGGTGGGAGGTTCATCAAGGGCAGCATTCCGCTGCAACCCCGAGGCTGAAGCTCCCCGAAGCTCTCTGATGAAGTTTCCATACGGAGATTGCTCTCAGTAGATGCCAGGGGCTTCCTTGACATAAGGAGTCCCCTTGGCATGCGGAAAACCAAAAGAGGGCCGTTAGGGGTCGGCGTCCTTCTGTGACAGTCTCCAACAATTCGGGACCCCATGCAGGGAAACCAACAGCAAGCCCGCACGTACCGTCATTTCTTGAAAACCCTTCCGTGGACACATCAGTGCATGATTGGATTTATGCCACCAGTCAAAAATGAAGCTGTTCCAACGAAATTTCATAGCCCTGTTCTAGGAAACTCCAAATTGAAGCCAGAGTTCCGCAACACCATCTCGTTGAAGCGCCATTCCAGCTCATCGTCCGTGGCCTGGTTGTTGCTGTAGAAGGCCATTTCCTCACGCTCGTGTGGTTGGATCGACGCAGTGTTCCCATAGCTTTCCAGTAGTTGTTTGGCGGTTGTGGGAGGGAGGCAATTGTCTCTTTCAACACAAGTCACTTCCGCTGCCACCCTTTCTTGATTTCACCAAAGAAAGCACCCCAACCTCCCCCTCCAATCCAAATCACACGCGGCTATCGCAAAGTCCAGTGGTGGCGGATGAAATTGGGGATTTTTGCAAGGAAGCACCGGAGAAAGAAACCGGCCTTGATTGCAGGTTGCTTATTTTTGAGGAACCCACAAGAAGGAACACAAAAATAAAATCCATAGGCTTATCCTATGAGATGAGCAAATTTGAGACAATCTTGCTGGTGAATTGTGTTGCGGGCCCGTTTGATAGGGAATGTTTTGATAGGCTCCCTTGTTGAAAGGCAGGGCAAAACCAGGCCGCCCGTAAATGCACGTGCCACACGAGCAAACGCACCAACCAGCACCAAACACCCACGCGGTTTAAGGGTCCATCAAACTGACAGTGGCCTGAGCGGACCTCCCCCCCCACACCCCCACACCTCCACACCCGTATCCACCCCCCGACCCCCCACACCTCACCCCCACATCCTACCCCGTATCCACACACCCCCAAAGCAATTGTCACCCCACCTCACCCCACCTCCAAACTGCCACCCACTTGGCGATCTCTCTCTCTCTCTCTCGCGCCTCGAGGGAGGTCTCCTTGAGCACTTTCCAGTACCAAGAGATGGGGTCGGCCTCCGCGACCCAACTCCACTCATCCCCCGCGAAGCTTTCGCGCCCAAAACCGGAATACGGCAAAAGGCGTTGTTACCACCTGTCGATGGACAAAATCCATTTCGCACCACTTTGAAACTAGGGTTGAAACCACAAGGCTTCTTGTTGGCATATACAGGGGAATCATCATACACCCGGGCTTCTCCTCGGTGGTGCGAGAAGCGGACTTCGTCTATCCGCAGTATCACTGGAAACTAGTGGCCGAAGGCTTGAAGTTGGGGTGTCAGGTCAATGGCCATTCCCATGGAACCCGAAATCGGAGCCCAAAAGGATGGGCAAGATTCCCGGCTGTCAACTTGGGCGTATCCGCGAAAGAGCTGCACCGGGGAGGGAAAAAACAACTCTTACTCCTGTAGGCCCTCCAGTGGACATGCCCCGTCTCGGCGCGGAACTTCTGCGCGAGTCCGGAAAGGAACCACCCTCCAGCGTCCATGTGAAGGTACATTCAGCAGTAATACTTAAAGAACAAAACAAAAACAAAAACATAGGGGCCACGTGTCCATGTCCCAAACCCCTATGCACCAGAAACTCACATCACTCACCAATGCCGCCTCCGGCACGCAAAGTGCTTCTCAAACTTGGGGGCGAATCCCTGGACTTTCTTATGTTTCCTTTGGTTCCCACCCTCCAAAACAAAACCTCCCCTTCTTGACACAAACCAAAACCTCCCACCCCCACCACCTCACCCCTCACCCCTCACCCCCAAAATTATTTGGAGAACCCCTCCAAAATGCCACCCCCCCCACCCCCTCACCCCCTCACCCCTGACCCCACCCACCCCCCACTTTCGACCCACCCCCCAAACGGCCCAACCCGCTCGGATCGCCTCCCGGCGCCGCGCCGTGAGCAGCTCGTAGCGCGCCACGGCGTCCAACACGCCGAAGCCCGCGGCGATCGCCTCCTCGTGCCGCGCCACGCGCCCGGCCGCGTCCAGCGTAAGCTCCGCCCTCAACGCTTCGGCTCGCGGCTTCGCGCGGCTTAGCGCGCGGCTTAGCGCGCGGCTTCGCACGAGCCGGGGGGGAGGAATCCATGCGTCGAAATGGGGCTGAGGGGGGGTTGGGTTGGGTCGGGGTGGGCTGGGCTGGGCTGGGCTGGGCTGGGGTGGGGGGGACGTTGGGTGGGTGGGAATGAAATTTAAAAAAGGGGGGGCGGAACCCAAATGTCCAGTGCTTCGATGGACCGATGGACCAAAACTTCACGGTTTGCTTTCTTGGACTCCACGAAATAGGGCGTCATCCTGCTTAAGACCCCCACCGGCAACCGACCCGCCTCAAAGTGGTGCTCACCGGCACCATGGCCCCAGGCACCTCGGCTGCACCTCTGACATCCCTCACTTTGGTTCCTGAGAGGGCGAAAGAACTTCGCTGGGCTTCCCGCCCCCCCCCCGCTATGAAGCAGTTTGGCTTTCCCTGAAAGCAAACGAGCTGTCGGAGGCGAATACTGCATGGACATGTGTGTCCTCTTAAACGAATAGGTGAATTCCACTGGTCAAGAAGTATCGAGCGAATCAAGTGGCGGCGCGACACAGATAGAAACCATGTGTGGCCAATCAAACTAGCCATAGATAACCCCAGTTTGCGGTGAGGGCTAGTTTGCGATGGCGTTCAAACAAATGTCTGCGGCAACCAGACTAAGGTTGCTGTTTGATTCCATTTATTTCAGGGCCAGAAGGACTCCAACAAATAGATCCCTAGAATTATACACCAAACAATGTGTATATATATATATGTATTCAGATCCTGGTCCATCCAACAACCCATGCTTCAAATATTGGGTTGGGAACCCCACCTTGGGCACATCCTCTGGCAGATCCATCAGCCGCGGCGTGGGGGGCAAGGGCGCCAGGAAGGACACCCGCCACCTGCCGAGCGATGCGGGACTGTTCGGTCGAACCAGCGGTCTCTGAGGGTCTGAGAACTGTACACTTAGGAGCCGAGGTAGAGCGAGTTAAACCCAGTTCCCCGGTGGAGGGGCCAACAACCACCCCCCCAAACAACCAACTGGAGTTGAGTGATATGGGGTGTAACATGAGCAAGGAAAGAAAAAAATGGAACTGGATACCGCACCCGCGAAGGATTCCTGCGAAAGGATCTCGTCAAGGCCCGTGGCCCTTTGAAGGACCCGCTTCCGCCGTCGGAATGGGATGATCCAACCGACGGATGATCCGTCGAATCGAGCAAGACGGTCTCACGCGAAGGAGCGCCGGGCGCCAAGCCGAGCCACCTGCCAAAATGGGCTGCGGCTTCAAAAAAGAATGAGGGGATTGCAAGTAGACCAACCCACAGTTCAAGCAAACATTCATTGGTGGTTTGGATTGGTGGTTTGGGGATACCCCTTGCAAAGGGTAAAAGGGGACCCACCCAATGCCACCAAACCGCCGGGGCTAACCACCAAAGAGGGGAGCTGAACTTCTGGGCAAAAAAAGGGCCCGGAACATAAGCTGCACCGAGTGGCATGGGCAGAATCGAGCTTTGCTCCCCTGAAAGGAGCCATGCGTCATGGAACCCATGGCCCCATCCCGCCTGGCGGTGACCAAGCCCGGCTGCAGCTGCCAGCACTCCAGCTCCGACACCTGCCCCAACAAAGTCGCCATCGGCGCCGAGTGAAGCCAGCAGTTCTTCGTTGAAGATGTGGCCGTGGGTCCAAGAACAGGTACCCAAAATAGGTTGCCCGGGTACATGGGCGACCACGAATTCATCAACCTAGTAGATGTGTTTGAGGCTGGTTTTACCCAAAAGTGAAGGATGCAACTTTTGAACTGGCATTTTGGTGATTTGGTCGTGGGTCAAACCCAATGAGATCCCATTTTGGTTGGTTAGTGAATTTGCCATTTTAGAACCTATTTGGGATGTTCACTGGGGGTACGATTTGGATTTTGACCCATGGCCACGTGAACAAAACTGCCTCCTCAAACCTCCGCTTCAATCAACCTCCGGTTTTAACAACCTGCGTTTTAACCGACCTCTCTTTGAAGCAGCCTCCCTTTTTGGCAACTTTTTTTGAGCAACCTTCCTTCTGGGCAACCTCATGTTGGAACGATTCTCTGTTGGTTTCTTCTTTAGGCGACCAGGGAAGCTGGTTGCTTCAACAAAATTCGCAATCGCTTGGAGTGATGTCCAACTAGATCAAAATCATGGCTGGTCGAGCCCTTGTCACAGACTCATGAGAAAGGAACGGGACCTCTCGCCAAAAGCGCTTTTCCCCTTCCCCTTCCCCCCCTTCCCCTTCCCCCCCTTCCCCTTCCCTTCCCCCTTCCCCTTCCCCTTCCCCTTCCCCCCCTTCCCCCTTCCTTCCTTCCCCTTCCCCTTCCCCTTCCCCTTCCCCTTCCTTCCTTCCTTCCTTCCTTCCTTCCTTCCCCCCTTCCTTCCCTTCCTTCCCTTCCCTTCCTTCCCCTTCCCCTTCCTTCCCCTTCCCTTCCCCCCTTCCCCTTCCCCTTCCCCTTCCCCTTCCCCTTCCCCCCCCCCTTGTGCTTGTTGTTCATGCGTCAAAAATTACCCCCACTCCTTCCCCCTTCCCCCACCCCCCTTGTGTTTCTTGCTTTTGTTTTGGGGGGGGGGTTCAGTTCTTTCTCTTTGGACACCCACAAGGAGCCACAGCTGATGGCCTCGAAGCCTTCCAGGCGCTGCGGCAGCTCGGCCCGCCAGTCGCTCATGGCCTCCAGGTAGCTCTCGCGGCCTTTGAGCGTCTCCAGCGGGCCCTGAGCGAAGTGGGAAGCTGGGAATGGGAAGCCAGAAATGGGGTGGGGTTGGGGGGGGGGGGGGTTGGGGGGGCAGTTTGGAGGTTTTGTTTTCTTTTTGCAACGTATTTCGTGGGGTGTGAGCGTTCTTTTTAAGGATTTGAACCCCCAAACGGTGAGCTTTCCTGTTGGCTTCCATTTAAAACTACCAAACAAGTGGGTAGCAACTTTTAACAAAATGGACACACACACACATGGTGATTGCTTGATTAAACATTGCAAGAATGCTAGGTTTCCTTAAGGGAGCTCTGGTTCATTCAACCAATGTTGCACGCTGCGGGCCTCGTAGGTCACATTCTCGGCGATCAAGGACTCGTCGAACGGGAAAGGGAGGTGCTCGGCTAGTAGCGCCTGGCTCATGGAAATCGAAAGGAAATTGCCTTGGACCTCCCCAACAAAAAGCCTACCACCACAAGTTAGAAGTCCGTTTTAGTAGTGGTCGATCCAAAATTGGTTCGGGAACAGTCGTGGGCGTAAGTTGGACCTCTGATTTCTCTGAGGTACTGACGTTTGTCCCAACATCACGTTTCGCCTGCGTGTGGCACACTGCCAGGTCCATTGGGCCATGGTCACTGCTTGTGTCCCTAAGTGACACGTGATGTTTGGCATTTTGGTGTGCCAAAAAAATTAACCAACTGAATGCCGAGAGCCTATGCGTTGGAAGGGGTTTGGGTGGGCTGTCGTGTTTTGCGGGCACCCCTTTGTTTGTGGATTCAAAGGAAACCCAAAATCAAAGCAAGAAGAACTGCTGGGGGGGTCAAGTAGAAATAGACACGCCCATGTTTGGCTTCAGGCTCCTTTGATTTCCGCCTTTCCAAAAGAGTCCATTTCAAGTTGATACATGCTGTTGTTGGCTCCTATTTGGGTATGCGTCAAGCTGGCATGGTGCCCCTCAGATTTGTAGCTTTCCTTTGGGTGCACCATAAGCCAAGGTGAGAAGGGTAATCTTGACCCGTACAAAACTACCCCAGCTTACAAAAAAGGGGGGGAGGTTCTGGGTTTGGTGGGGAGTCATCAGTTTTGGAGGGGGCCCCAAAGCACAATTCCCCCCCCCCCCGCCCCAATGATCCGTGTTGGAGGAGCCCAAAAAAACACCCCCCAGTTAACAAACCTCATTCCATCAGGAGCGCAAAACAACTATCAGGGTTGTCATCAGCGTTGGAGAAGCCCAAAAACACCCCCCTATTTTAAAAACAAACTGGTTGGTCGATTTTCCATGGGGTCAGAAATTTCCCTCATGCGACCGCCACATCTCCATCCCGCCCCCCAGCCTCCGGACTCTGAGCTGCCAGGCGCAGGCCCACGCCGCGAGAAGGCGCCCAAGGCGCGGAGTTGAGTCTCGGAGCCCTCAGCTGGTCTCGGGCTTCGGCTTGCAACCCTTGGCGCAAATGCGCTGGGGACGCCCCGGCCTTTCTTAGGGGAAAACCACAAGGGAAACAAACAAACAAAAGGAAACACCAAACCTCACATTGAATTTTGTCCCTTTTGGTTTTGCTTTTGGGTCTTCAAAGCGAGACCAAAAGGAAAAACCAGCATGTATGACCTTGCCAAGGCAAGTAGCTCCTTTTGGGCGCGACATCACAGCCAGGGAACTCATCTTCTTTAGCCATGATGCCAATAGGTATCTGTCAGAGCCGGGTAAAGTCGACCAACATAAAACATTGAGCTGTCTCATTAGACGACAGGCATCTGTTCCTTGAGTTTTAGAAGACTTCATCCACCTTGGGTCAGGCTTTTTTGGGGTGGATTGGTCCCCACCGCCCCCTATCCACCTTTGGTCAGCTTCCCTTCAATTGGTGGTTTGGTGATTTGGTTTGGGGGAGGCTTCCCATTTGCCCTCTACAAGAACCAGAGGTTGAAATTCCCAAACGACCAATCCAAACCACCAACTAAGGGCCAGCTGAGAAAATATGGGTGTGTTACTTGTTTGAGGATTTGGACCCCAAAATGGCGGGTTTTGGGATTTGGCCAGCACCACTTCACATACGGGGTATGTGTCAGAGTGGGACCCACAAAATGGCAGGTTTCTGTTGGTTTCCCTGAACAGAAATGCCGGGGAAGGGGTACCGAGCCTCTAAAGAAGACACGCCCATATGTTGCAGCCAACGGAAAAACCAGAACCATCCGGCAAAAGGAAGGATTCACCTTCCCAGGTTGTCCAAAGAGCCACTCAGAAAAAAGGCTCTCGTCCAAGTCACGCGAAGAAGGCCCAAGGTCCTGAAGCAGAAAGCAGCGTGACGTGTCGTTACGTGTCATGCCTTCGAGGGGCCCCCGAAAAAGGGCGGCCTCTCTCCGCGTGCCTTCCGTCCAAAGCCAGAACAAAAAGGCGGCCCAAGGAGAACACACACACACACACACACACACATACAACCACAAGGAAGGCTGGAAAACTGCAAGGAAAAACGCAAACACGCAACCTCTGCGGTCCGCTTCCAGTACTTTTCGATCTGGGAATGAAAAAAAAAACTTGTGGTCGTTGTGTATTAAGGAAGTCGGAAACCACTCATTTTTGAAGGGTACCCCCACTTGGCGACAGCCCCACACAGGTCAGGAACGTTTTGTAGAGGGAAAGGAGACACCAGTACATGGCTGCGGGTCAAAAATAGGTACCCAAAAAGGAAATGGAACCTGGTAAATGGAACCAAGGACTTAAAACCTGCGGTCCGATTGGTGGTTGAATTCTGACCCACACCCGACATGTCCATTTTTGTTCCCCCAGTCCTCTACAGCCCAGCAGCAGCAAAAGGCTTCCCTTCCCCAGGCCGCTCAGCGCCGTCGCCCGGCGCGGGGCCGCCGCCATGGCGGGGTCGATGGCGGTTGGCTGGCGCTTGGCTTACGTTTGGGTTTACCTTTCAACCAACCCCAAAAGGGATGCTCTTGCCTTGTGGGTGCGCAGAGAGTGGAGCTGCTCTTGCGGAAGACAGCCATTTGGAAGGAGGCAACAATGTTTGGTGCTGAGTGAAATCAACGCGTATGCTGAAAGATATGCTGGAGGGTGCTTGGGTTTGTAACACTGCCAACCTGGCATGACTTTTGAGTCAAAGTTCCCATTGTTTCTCTTAAGTCTCTTGACAGTCCAGTAGGTTGACTTCGAGAAAGGGCCAGGTATCCCATCGCAGGTCAAAGAAACCCATGTATACCGTATACCTGTGTGGTTTGTTTGAGGCTAGCGGTTAAAATACTCAGCTCCTAAACAAAAGCATGGTAGAAAAATATCCCGCGCGTCCCATGTGAGTCCCGCAGTCCTCCCAAATTGCCCATAGACCTGGCGTTGCTCCAACCTCACATGGCATTTCAGCAAGCCAATGCCCGAAGGCGGACTTGAGCCTGGAGCGCCTCGAAACGAAAAAGCTGTCCATTGCGACAATCGGAGCTCCCCCAAAACCGCCGTGGTGCTTAAAGATTGGAATGAAAAAAACGTCAGTGCCATCAGGGACCTGTGTTAGGGGGCTCTCCTTGTGGATCCTTTCAGCGGACGTCCCCAGAGCTCTCACTTGAAACGCTCCCAGAAGTTCGCTTCGGTTCCAGTCCAACGTTAGCCGCAACTCCAGACAGCTTAAACTCACTTCCTGAGTGGATTGGCCAAACCAAGTCCGAACTTTTCATCTACCACCAAGATGGTCTTCCCAAAAAGCAGAAGCCAATCCAGGAACTCAGGGAGTGAATTGAAAAGAAAAAAAGCTCCCCCGAAGAAGAAGAAAATAACGGTTCACCCGCGGACTCGGTTGGCCAACTCCACGGGCTCTCTGATTCGTCCCAACGGAACCCTCAGCTCCGCCTGCAGACAGACTCCGCGGCGCCTCGCAGGAGGACACGTTTTTGGTCTCTCGCTGACGGGACGTCCGGGAAATGCGATCCGGGAAATGCGATTCGGGGATGTCCCATTTGGGCATGAGCCGGAAGAATTCCACGGGGCTATCCCATTGCTAGCCTTCCGCTTGCAGGTGCTTGCAGGTGCGACAGAAACAAAGGTTGGTCTGTTGGATCCTTGACTAAGAGTTGACCAAAAAAGGAGAATCAAATGGTCAAAAGGTGTCTTTGGACAGGTGTGAATTAAGACTCTGAAATTAAGTGAGGTGTCCCTGCCGTGTTGCCAAATTCACATTGCCAATCCTTCCGATGCCTGCTTGTACTATGCAGCATGGTTGCGCCTCCCCTCTGCGGTGTTGAAGAATACCGAGTCGTCGAAAGATGTTCTAACAGTGCATGATGATGTAGATGTGTTTTTTGTTTTCTCCAGAGTCTCACACATCCCAGAACGAGCTCTTGGAATCGTGAACCAAGGAATCTATCTGACACCACACGCTATGCGCTCGGCTTGACTCGGCCGGCTTGTTTCCAGCCTATTTAGCAGCTTGCTGTTACACCGTGGAAAACCGCAGCTGATTCACCCTCTGCAGAAGCCAGGGGTTCAAATCCCAAACCAATCTAAACCACCAACCTGGGGTTACCTCATGATTGGAGTCGGCGCCAAAAAAGAAACGTTGCACCCTCGGAGTTGACTTGTTGGGTCTGAAGCCATGACTCTCTTGCCCGACCCCTTTTCCCCCCCCCGGCCCCACACCCCACACCCCCACACATGGGACACCCCCTCCCCCCCCACCCCAACTCCACCTGTGAAGAAAAGGTTTATGAATGCTGGGTTTCCAGTAGGTTTGGATTAGTAATTGATAAACCCAAGGATTTTGTGCAGCGTTTGCAGGCCAATAAGCCTGCTGCATCTCCCTTTTGGCAAATGGAAGCAAGGGTTGCGGGCTTCAAAGTTCCTGGGAAGGTACTATTCTCTAGACTGCTATTGAAAACAGTAGTAGCCCATTTCATTCTTCTTGACTAGTTCTGCACTTGTCAGGACCTTTTGCTTTATATTCCTCTGCCTGATGAGTTGATTCAAACTCGTCTCACTGCACGTGCGTGCGTGTAATGGCTTCATGGAAGATACCCAGAAAGCACAAGAGGTGATAGCGGCTGCCGCACGCAAGGTTCGTGCGGATCACTCATCCCCCATAAATCTGCGCTAGGGGGTTCTAGTACCCCGATATGTGCTGTTAAGGTCTTGACTCTCCAATGATCTCAGCTCCAATGTTGTAACACTGTGCGCTGCTGGAATGACTTCCTAGCTTTCAACGCACATTTCGAATCCTCTTCCTGCTGCCAGAGTGAGGCCTCAGACTCAGGGTCCCTCTTGGATGGTTGCAAAACCAAAACCAAAGAGAACATCCAGCATCTGGTGGCGCCGTGGTTTAACGCGAGAAATCAAGCCAACCTGTGTGACAGTAGATTTGCACGCTCCATCTTTCCCCCATATGCAATACATCTGGGTCTGTCTTTTTTTGAGGCATTTGTGCAGGGGGGGGGGGGGGGGTTAAAGGCAAACCAAAACGGAAACCCAAAAGGAAACCCAATCTGGAGGGTCACGGATTCCGCCTGCTGCTGTTGCCGGGACGGCGACACAGATCTGGGCCCATTCTTCCCCCGCGGCAGCCTCCTGTCACTCGAAGCGAAGCGAGGCCCCCCTTAAAGCGGGTGTTTTTCAGGATGAATTCGGAGACCAAGCACATGTCCAGCCCTGGTGTTTGAAAAAAGAACGCACGGCACACATATGCTCGGCCCGCGCTCTCCTTTCTTCCAAAGGCCTTCGCTCCACACCTCCGGAAAGAGGCAGAAGCCAAATCTGGGCTTGACGTTTAAATGTGGAACGCCCAAAAGCTTGGCGTGTTTTCGTTTCTTCCTCTTGGAACAATTCCCCCTACAATATCCATTTCGCTGCAGAGATCCATTTCCTGTTCTGCGATCTTCTGCTCCCAACCTCGCGCAGCAGTTGGCAGCGCGTTCAGTGAAAGCACCTCACGCAGCGGCCAGGGACGGTCCATGTTCACCAAGCTCTCCCAAGCACAACGGATGGCAAATACCCTCTGCACAGTGGCTGCTTCTTGTGCGCACTGGCTCAGATTGGTTTTATAGATGGCACTGCTTCAGATTTCTGTTTGCATCAAAAACTTCTGGCGGTTTGGGGGTAGAAGCCCATTCAGCGACCGGAAACTGCCGCGGCTGGGCCCTATGCCTGGCAGGGGGCCTTGCCGGACCTGCGGCGGAAGACAAGTTTTCTTGGCCGTGGCCTTTTTCATCTGGGAGGGAAACCTGAGGAAAAATCAAAGTTGGGGGCAAGTCCCCATTTTGACACAGGCCCAAATCCTTCTCCAAATACCTGTGGAAAGGTCCATGACAGACCTTACCAATCCCAAGGGGTCTTCTGACCACGGCAAGTGTGATTTTAGGCTCAAAAGCTCTTGAAGGAGACCCGACAAGAACCCCAAAGATAGCTTGGAATCAAGCTCCTCGACTTGCAAAAAATATTGGTCGGTCCTTGGCATGGCCGACACGCGCCAGACTCGCCTGCCACTCACTCACATCCCAAAATCGCGGGGCGGCATCATGGTGTTTGTCTTTCTTAGGAGGTCCAACATGAGGACGGCATTTGGCAACCCATCATCAGATCATGTCAAAAACAGCCAAAGCCTGGAAATACGCCAGCAATATTCAGCTCCTTCCCCAGAGTGCGACATGTGTTTATATTCATTTATTTATTTGTTTTTTGGGGGGGACTTTGGGTGGGCCCAACATGCTTCCGCAACACAGCCAAGAGACGGCCAAGAAACTACCGGTTGATGGTCAGGCAGCTACAATGATTCAACATCTGAAAGAGAGATCCAGAGCTCTCACGGTCAGTAGGCAGCTCTCGTAGCCGTGTGACAGATGTTGCCTGGCCAGTTCTCCATGCTCTGCCTCGGAACGGAGCCACAACGGAGTCACAAGGCCACGGCTTTCAACCGCAATGCCAAAGTGCCCTTACAACTTGCCGCGCTTCCCACAGCCCCCACCCAGAATCCTGTGCTGCCTCTCTCTCGCTCATGCGAGCCCTCTGCCTCTGCATTGAGACGGCGCATGCCCTGTTCTTGTGAAATTCACAAGCGCGACTGCCCTCCCTCCGCTGGACCGAATCTGAGTACTGCACCTTCGCGGGCTGAGACCTGGCTCGAAATCTCAGTCAACTACTGTCACCCTGGATCTCGTTTTCAGAGTACAAAATAGGCTTGAACCCACAGGTGTCCCTTCCTTTCCAAAATCAAATCACTCCTTGGGAGATTGATCACTTCATTTAACTCCACCAGTCCGAAAGAAGAAATGAACCCTCTCTTTCTCCCCGGGCCTGTCTTTGACTTGCGCCGAAGCGTCCGGAGCATCCGGATCCGCACTCTCGGGAAGCTTCGTCGCTGACTTCTCGGCCACGTCCTCCGCCTCCGGAGCCGCCTCCGCTGATCCGTCCGTGGGGCACGTGCTGGAGATCACCTCTTCAGTCTCGGCACCTGAGAGATCCGATTCCCATAGAAACTCGGGCTTTCAAAAAAAAATGCATTTGCAGGCCTGCCTTTGAACCATTCAAACTGCATAGTTCCTTTTAGAACACTTCGTGCTGTGCGTTCCCAAGGTGACCACTTTAGAGCGGGACAAGTGGATCAATCATAGGTGTCCTTTTAGTGGAAATAGATGGCCCCGGTGGATGATTAAACCACCAGGCAAACCAGTGCCATCTATTTTTCTACCAAAACAACCAAAAAGGACACCCACAAAATCAATCCCTCAGCCAAGTCCAAAAGTCTCAGCGCCAAGGCGCGGGGGCTGGGCTTCGCCGGCGCTTCCGCGGGCTTGCGAGCCTCAGGCGCCTGGAAAAATTGGGGCGTTGATCGATGTGCGTGCAGGTTTGACCATGGGCAACGGTTCCCACGGCGATTGTAATATCATGTGTTGAGTGTTTCTTTCTCTTTTTTTCAAAATTAAGTGGTTGGTTTTTGTTTCCTCTTTTTACTGCCCCATATGGGTATAGGCAGGGAATGAGACATGGAATGACCCTGAGAACCATCCCCGATTCGGTTCCTTTAAGGGAATCCCCAACGGTTCATTCCCAACACCCGGAAGGTCATTCCCTACTGAGCACCAGCAAGCCTTCGCTTACCCTTAAACTAACCTCAGCAAGCCCTTCAAAAAATATGCACCCAACAGGGTAGCTGGCACCGCGGTAGCAAATGAGCCGCTGACGAAGGGACACCAAAAATCCAACCAATTGAATCTGTGAAGTTGGATCGGGACTCCTTGGTGGACATCATTTCCGCCGTTGGCGCGTTTTCGATCCGCTCCGAACCGCGGCAGCTGCTTTTGCTTGGACTCGCTCGTCCCTCTCAAGGCTGCCTGCCCCTTTCTTACGGGGCCCGTTTCGCTGTTGCAAAACGCGCTTCACCATTTTCGTCTTACCTTGCCTTCATTCCTGACTGCTAGACCGCTTTTCCGACTTCCCAGGAACCCCATGCCGATATCTTCCCCTCCTGCCTACCTTGAGGGCTAAAGAGCCATGAGAAACAAATCCTGCTGACTTGCCAGCCGGGGATGCTGAGATTCGCATGCCTGGTTCCAACTGATTGTTATTGTTTGCTCTATTTTTCTGCAGCTCGAAAAGAAAAAAAACAATAAAGGTACTCAGCCTCCAATCCGAACGGATTCGCAAAAAGTTGGAGTTGCTCAAAGCAAGCACGCCATCTCTCCGAGTCCGCTCCCACAAACCGGAGAGTTGGGAGTTCTTTGCGGGGTGCCCTTCAGAGTCTGCAAGACCAGCAAGGCTCTGGTCGGTGACTCGATTTTTCCCCAAGGGTCCCGGAAGAAGAAAAAATAGTCACATGAAATCAAGAGTAATAGGAGGACCCTCAACATGCTGACCTAACTCAAGGGACGCCAACAGATCCCAAAGCCATCCACTTTTGTGAATGGCTTTTGAAAATTAAGCCCAACTGACCCAGTCCTGGGCGCGCATAAAGAAGTTTTTGACCTTCTTCTTCGGCTCCTACGAAGCCGACATTCGAACAAGCCTCCGAGCCCCGTAGCTCCTTCCACCCACCCCTGCTCCTCCAACCCCGGGCTTGCTGGAGGGGTTTATAATCGTAGCCCATACAACAAGCTCCCCCCGTTTTCAGAAGGTTCAGCTTCGAAGGGAGTCGGGCATCCTTCCCCAACAAGGCAAGCTCGCGTCCCACGTGATAAGTCATAGCCGGGGCCATGTCCATCCCCTGCAAATCACTTTCTGCCCTGAGCAACATCCTGTCTGATCGCCGGGATCATTGGATCCCCCGAACAAACAAGACGAAGAAGCTTTACCCGCCCCCGTTTTTTCCATGTCCTACTTGTCAACTACAAAGCCTGGGGTCAAAACCTGTGTGGATCAGTTTCCTCCGAACAGCCCCCGTCAGGTGACATGCTACTGGGAGCCTCTGCACACCCACTGCGCTGCACCTGTGCAAGGACCCTCGCTTGAACCTGCCAGCACCCCATTCAACAAAAAAAATGATGCCAGGGACACCAAGGGAAACCCTTGGGCACAAAACCTTTCCACCCAAAGCCCTTGTCAAATGGCTTCCTTACTTTCGCCCCTCGGTTTCCCTTGATTTCCCTTGGTTTCCCTTGGTTTCCCTTAGTTTCCCTTGGTTTCTCTTGGTTTCCCTTTCGCTGGCGGAAAAAAAAAAGCTTCCGCTCCGGGACCGGCGCATCGGACACGGCGCTTCCGGCCGCTTCCGGCGCTTCCGGCGCCTGCGTCGTACGAGAGCTGGGCATGCGCGTCACTGCGCGGTTCGGAACCCGGGAACCATTCCTTCTCAGAAAACAACGATGGGGGGGGAAAGCCTTCTTAAAAAAAAAAAAAAAAAAAAAAAAAAAAAAAAAAAAAAAAAAAAAAAAAAACAATCACAAAAAAAAAAAGGCTGAAGAGAAAAAAAAAAAAAAAAAAACGAGAAAAATTGAAAAAGATGGTTGAAGAGAATGGGGAATCCACGAACTTCCCTTTGGGGGAGTATTGCTATGGAAGGTGTTCCTCAGTGAAATTCCCGCCCATCTTGTGGAGCTCTCCAACGTCAGGCGGAAACACCTCCTTTCGCCTCCTGGCCCGGCGAGTATCCCCCAATCGCCACAAGTCCAACGAACGGCGCCTGAACAGGGCTGTGGGAAACGGAATCCACTTCTGTGATACAGCAAAAAGAGCCTAACCCCAAAGACTACCCCCCATATGAAGGAAAAGATTCCAACTTGTAATTATCACAGAAGTGGGGATAAACCCCTTGATCCCACAACCCTGTGCCTGAAACACGCCAGGAGCCCGCATAGCCGCATCGCTGTTCATCTCCGTCTCTCCCGTCTCTCCTCTCCCGTCTCTCTCGTCTCTCCTGTCTCTACCCGTGTGTCTCTGTGTCTCTATGTGTCTCTCTGTGTCTCTGTGTCTCTGCGTCTCTCTGGATGTGTGTTTGTGTCCGTCTTTGTGTGTGTGGTTGCGCGCTCGTGTTTTCAAGGCGACCCGCTTCACCTTGAGTTGAACCAAAAGGAAACAAGAGGAGCCCGGGAACCCAAAAGCAAAAAAAGGCCTGCTTTTGGTTTAAAAAAAAATACAAAGAAAAGGAACAAAAAGTCCCCACCCCTTTCGGGGGTCGGGGCCCCGTACTGGGCCCGCCTCGGGCGCCTTCGCCTCGGGCGCCTTCGCCTCAGGCGCCTTCACCTCGTGCGTCACCCGCTCGCCGCTGCTGCCCCTAAGCCGCAGGTGACAAGGGGGGCCACTCTGTGCGTGGTGCGCGCGTGGTATGCAAACCAAGAAAAAGACGGCGCCGGTTAGTGAAAACCTTGCAGTTCTGCACAAGAGAGAGAGAGAGAGAGACAGAGAGAGAGAGAGAGAGAGAGAGAGAGAGAGAGAGAGAGAGAGAGAGAGAGAGAGAGAGATAGAGAGAGAGAGAGAGAGAGAGAGGCGGCCCGACCTCCAAAGGTGAACTACAAAATCCGGGGGGGATCGATTTATGTCTCCCAAACGGTGGATTTTTGAAAGGATAAGCCCAAAACAAATTCTGGCCCCATGTAGGCACACACACATGTGTGTATATATATATATATATATTTATTTATTTATATTTATATGGGTCAGTGTCCAGAGTTCCCAGCCCCCCCCCATGGTATGGTCCCGCCCCCCTCCCCCCAAACCCCGTCTCCCCTTCCATGGTTCCAGGTCCGTCGCTTCCTTGGGGCGTTTCCAACATCGTGACTTTGTACTGGAGTCCATAGCCGCCAAACTGCGGGCCCCAGGACTTGGAAGCTGCCATCCGCTTCGTGCGGGTGTTCCCAGAGGCCAAGTCTTGGCATGTCCTGCTGCTGGACACAGCAAGACAGATGGCGGCCACAAGTCTGCACAAACCTTGCTGCATGAGCTTCCTATGCCTTGGCCCAATGCCAGCGGCAGTGTGGCCAAGGCACGGGAAGCTCGCGCAGCAAGGTTTGTTCGCAGACTTGTGGCCGGTTCATCACCGCCATCTGTCTTGCTGTGTCCAGCAGCAGGACATGCCAAGACTTGGCAGCAAACTATATAGCCCCCCAACAAACACATGCGAGCACTATTTAACCAAAGGTGGCCGCTCACAACAAGCGTCCTGCGACCCGGACGCTCGGACTGGTGTTATCTCCAATTCCAGCGCCATGCTGAAGAATGGCCTGCCACCGATGCGCGTCCCCCTCTGCGAGCCAATCTCACGACCAAACGCTACAATGCACCGGGAGACTCTGGCACACACACGCTTGCCACAGCACACCAGCACTTCACCAGCCACAGGACCACAGGGCCACAGGGGGGGGGCCCATGACGGGGGGGCCACGAGCCCTGACCCATATATATGTATACATATATATATATATGTATATACAAATATATATATATATACAAATATATATATATACAAATACATATATATATATATGTTTATGCGTGAAGAGGCGCAGTGAGAAACAAACTGAGCCCCCAGCGCAGCTGCTTCACTCTCTCGGCCCTGCGATCATACTGCCAAAAACTCAGGCAAGAATGTCCAAACTTTCCCAGCCACACCCTCCATAGAGATGAGTGAGTTGAAGCAGTTTTTGCTAAAGACTTGAGCACTGAGCACATGGACATGAGTGAAAACGGTCTAAACAGTTTGGAGGGTCGCCTAACTTTAAGACATGTCGTGTGCCATTTTGATCGAACCTGAAGTACTGAGCACAGAGCACTGAGGTGTGCTCCGAACCGCTCCTCTTCGCGTGCAGCTTCTGAGGGCGGACACGACTCACTCTTCTCCTGCATGCGTTTGGCTCAAAATGGACCAAACAGGGGAGCCTTCGGACCCCCAAAGCAGGTGGAGTTCCTTTTGGTTTCCCCTCGAAGCTATCCGCAGCCGATCACTCGGCACAATTCTACAGCCCGCGAAGTGGCTGCAACTCAAGAACCAGCTTGAGAAATCAGCCAATGGGTATTGAGTCTAGGCACCCCCACCCAGATGGTTTCGAAGGTGAAACTAGTTCTATAAACCCACCAATTGAAAGGGTGCCTTTTTGAGGGGACAGCCAAACACACTGACAAACATGGAATTCCACAAGCCATCGCGCTTAGATTTCGTATGGGGAGACCCCCCTTTTGGAATTGAGGTTCCAAGTTCCATGTTGGGGAGTACTTAGAGGTGAATCGCTCAAGTCCGCGATGGGTTGCGTTGGTCCAGGGGCATCGATAATGGCAAAATGCTAGGCTGTTCAAAATGTGGGGAGGCCTAATCCTCATCAGTAATCCATAGTGGGACTACCACACAGGAAACCACTAGCATCTGGAACTTTGGTCAAGGCATGTGCCCAACTGCTGCCAGGCTATTATCCAATGTCGCACACATGACAAAGGAGTGTGTATCAAAGGAATTTGGACCCCGACGGCTGGTGTCCTCTTGGTTTTCCTTTAAACCATGGAAAAGGGAAACCCCTCAATACATGAACCCAAAGGAAAGAAGCCAGCATGCACGTCATGGTCGCGCAGCTTTAGCCCAAAAGGAACAGGACGAGACTAAGACCGCTGCGAAAATGGGTGAACGGGTTTCCGGCTCTCACTGGCCAGAGTCAGAGCCTTCACTTTTTGATACCGGCAAGAAGCAAGAAACCTCAACCTTCAATCACCAAATGGCAGATGTGGCTGTGGGTCAAAACCAATGGGATCCCATTTTGGGTTAGGTGCACCACCCATTTTAGTCTATTTTAGTGAGGATTGGGATGTTCACTGGGGGTACGGGATTTTGACCCATGGCCATGTGACGCCTTGAGCTGGGTTTCTGATCAAAGGAAAACCTGTGATCCAAGTGCCAAACCGAAGTGCAGCGACAGCTGTCTGGCACCTTGTCCTCCGCGCCCTCCATGCGGACCTCAAGGATACGTGCTGAAAGTGAAAAGAAGACGCGACCTGACCTAAAATTTTGGGAGATCAAACTCAGCATCTGAGTCACAATCAAAACCTGGAATTAAAATGGTTGACCCAGATCCATGTAGTGAAATTGAAAGGCGGCCGCAACTAGTTATGGCTGGGAATGTGCCCTGCTGACCTTCATCCACCCGGGTTTTGATTGTGGCTCATCTGTGAGTTGACAATGGGACAGGTCCGGAACACTCCCTGGTTTGCTGGTTTGCTGACATGCATGACACCGCAGCTTCCAGCTCCAAGATTCTGGATCGGCAAGTGCTGGGGCAGGGGCACATGCACTGCGACGGACGCCACAAATCTTTCGGCAAACGAAGGGACGCTCGCATCCTGCCTATGTCTCGTATGCTTCGAATCTGCTCGCGTCTGTTGCATCGACATGGTGACGTTCGATGTGCCTTTCGATGCGCGTGCTGCTCGGGGCCCAAACTACGAGGCGCCGGTTCAGCACCGCGACATGCAGGTCGAACCCGTTTTTTTGTTTCCCAAGGACAGGGCCAAGAGTCAACGGAGCCCCGCACCTTGCACTCCGACAAACTGACGCATCCGCTCGAAATCCAGGTATCGTTCCAAGGACGGGTGCAACAGCGCGTGAGGCACGCAAAAGTGCCCGGGGATCTCATGACACTTTATCACGGCCGAGCATTTGCAGAGGGATCTTTGCCCAAGAGGCTGCGCGATGGGCAGCCGCCGGAGATTCTTCGGGTAACGCACACGAAACCCCTTTGGCTCGGTGAGCGTCGAAGTCGAGCATGTCAGGATCCTGGCCATGCTGTGTCGCGATTCATCCGAACCCCCCATTCAAGCTGCTGAGTTCTACCAAGATGCTCGCAGGGTTGGTTCCCCTTTCTCTGCTCGGAAACCATACATTTCCTCTGACCATCTTTCCCGAAGAGAAGGATCCCTGAAGAGGATCGGGTCTGGCTAGAGTGTAGTTTGTGTGTACTGCCAGGAGCAAGAAACTTTCGCCTCTTGGGCACAGGGGGAAAAAAAAACGTCACTTGGGCGGAGGTTTAAAAAATATCCCCCCCCCCCATTTCGCGATGTTGGTGTCATACCGCCCAGCTCGCTGGGTGATTCTGTGGACTTGGGAGCAGCGTAGCGGCTAGCGAACTGCATGGGGACTTCCTTTTGGAAGGAAAAAGAACGGACAGCAGGATGCAATTGTTGCAATTGAATAAATTTGTCGAAACCAATTTGGAAAACACAGCACGTTAAGCGCACTTGCCTGAAGCAACATTTCCGTTTTTTGTTTTTTGCACCGAACCGAACCCAAGCCCGCTCGGCCACCATCTGCCCGTGTTTCCGGAAAAAGGCATGGGTATGCATGCTTCAAAAACATCAGGCGGCTCTAATCGGAAAACCCAAGGAAAAAGCCAAACACCTGGAAAGGTCTCTAAGTCTCTAACGTTAGAAACATACCTCAGTAGATGTTTCGTATAATTTATTTTTCCTGCTCTCGCCGTGCCCGTCCTTGGATCACGTCTCGGGGGCGCCTGCGCTCAACACGGAAAGTGAGCTCCTTTCCTAGCGATCCACTGGCTAGATCCAACGTGTCAAAACTAGGAAACCTTTCACACGCGTCGAGAGACGGGAATCAACGTGACACCAACTTGTTTGGGGAGTCCGGTTTGTCCACATCTGGCTGGGTGTGCAAGCCACGGTCATTCTTCATGGTGTCCTAGTTTGACATGCAATTTTGGTCAGTGACACCCCATTTCCTGTTGTGTTGGAGAGTGTGCCCCATGTCATCACGTTTACAACAGTGCATGGCGGCAATTCTTGACCTCGACTCCTACGTCTCGCGTCCCATGGTCAATCTCCTTGCGTAAGCCATGAACAGGGGAACCAAGCCATCAGAATCCTCATGTTGCCCACGCCAAATTCCGTCGCGAATGGAACATGGAGCCGGCCTCTAAGGCAAGACAGAGCTGCGGTGAATCCTGGCGAACTGGAAGCGAGGCGTCAGATGAAACGGGAAAAAAAAAAGCCCTCCGCACTTTTTCGAGGCAAGCAGCAGGCTGCAACCATCAAATGCGCTCACATGAGTGGCCATGCGAACAAAAAGGGCATCCCCTTTTTGGTTGGTGGAGTTTTCTTGGGGGACCCTTCCCAAAAAGAATGGGAACAAAGGGCCGCGACTGGGCAAGTGGGAATCCATCCTCACCAGGCTGAAACCCAAAGGTCAGGAAAAACAGGCCAATCCCACGATTCGAAGCGCGACAGCACCGCCAAAGGATACCACCGCCACCACAGGCACGCGCATCCAAAGCGGACCTGGCGAGGGCCGGAAAAACACAAACCAGAAAAATGGCACCTTGGTACATGGAACTAAAGACTAAAACCTGCGTAACCCTAGCTCTTAAATTTCGAGCCACACCCGAAATGAATGGCAGGATCCCGTGGTTGAGCGATGGCAGCCCTCAAAACAGAGGTCGCACCAGCATGAAGAAAGCTGCCTGCACGCTTGGGCCATGACTGGCTTTGGGACACCAATGCGGGTGGCCTGTTTGAGGGTTCACGCGGGTTCAAAGGGAACATAAGCGAAAACCACTCATTTTGCTCCAAGGCAGCGCCAACAAAGAACTTGCGAAAACAAGTCGAGTCCCGGCTCGAAATCGAGGCCGACATCGAAATCCGCCGCTGCGTTTTCCAGGGGAAGGAGCTCAGCCGCTGCGAGTCCCTTTCTGAGTTGCTCAGCAAAAACGAAGCGCGAAGCGCCGCTGAGGCTCCAACTGGGGAAAAGGAGACGGTTGAAATGCGTTTGTGTTGCGCCAGCATCCAACTCCAAAAGAGCATATCCAGTGCATATCACGAATGAAGGACTACAGAGAAGCAAAGAAAAAAATTATTCGCGCTCGCCGCGCAATCAACAGAGCATCTCACGAATTCAAGCAGCGAGAGTCACTGCGGGTTGTCCAGCTCAGCGTATACAATTGCCCAGTGACCCTGGTAGAAGAATAGAACTCTTTTTGGGACTGACCATTTTTAGCGGGGTACTACTGTGGATGGACGAAATCCTGCACCACATAAGAAACCCTGGGATGATGAATCCCCTGTAAATACCAATAAACAATGGTTTCCCATGGGTTCCAAGTGGCGCAAAATGGATTTCATCCATCCACAGTAGTACCCACCAAACGAAAAGAAAAAGCCGAATCTCAGGCGCGGGCTAAAGGAGAAGTTCACCAGGAATACCGGAATCCACACAGACCTCATCTGATCTGATGAAGTATGCGGCTCCCGCACTCATCTTGGTTTTGGGAAATTGTGGGCCTCATGAGTCATATATGAGAGCTCATATAAGTCTCCCTCAAGGGTGCTCTTGCCCTAATTTTCACCTCCCCCTCAAACAAAGGAACCACTTGCCTGCACCATTTTTGAGACTTTCCTGGGGCTGATCCCGCCAAAGACTCGGAGCAAAACAAAACTCGGCTGAAAAACAATTGCGTGGAGAGCCTGGGGAGAGGGAGCCTTTGGATCAATCCGGGATCGACAGGGACCTTAGATCACCCGAAACCCAGCAATCAAAGGGAAAACCACGGTACAGGTTTATAGACAACTTTGTCCCTATAGGAGCTTGCATGAGCGATGGTAGAAACAGCTGGAAGTGTGTCAAAGTAGTGGTTTGAACCCCAAAACTGGTGGTTGTCCTTTTGGCATCCCTGCAAAACAGCATCAAGGCAATTACCGAGCTTGGAACACGCGCAGACACCAGCAAACAGACAAGCAAACAAACAACACAAACAACACAAACAAACAAACAAACAAACAAACAAACAAACAAACAAACAAGCAAGCAAGCAAGCAAGCAAGCAAGCAAGCAAGCAAACAAACACAAAATAATACACACAATATATGTACATGCAGAATTGTGTTGACTCCACCATGTTTTTCTAGCTCTATCCTGCATATCCATCAGAGAACAAACGAAAAACCAACCCCTCCGAGAGCGAAGACCTGACAAAAAACCGCCGGTCTGCGTCCACGGGGCCAGCAGAGCTTCAGGTCTTCTACCTGGTGCTGCCGGAACTTCCGCCAACCTCTCCATGAAAAAAATGAGTGGACTGGCTGGGCGGCTGGGCTGGCTGGGCTGGGCTGGGCGGGCTGGGCTGGGCGGGTGGGCTAGGGCAGGTGGGCGGTTGGGTGGGGCGGGTTGGGCTGGGGTGGGGTGGGGTGGGGTGGGGTGGGGGTGGGGCTGGGCGGGCTGGGCTGGGCTGGGCTGGGCTGGGGTGGCAAAACCGTGGGGTGGGGTGGGGTGGGGTGGGCTAGGCTGGGCTGGGATGGGGTGGGGTGGGGTGGGGTGGGGTGGGCTGGGCTGGCTGAGCTGGTGGGGTGGGGTGGGGGTGGGGGTTTGGGGTGGGGTGTGGGGGTGGGGTGTGGCCAGAAAACCCTTTCGGCGCCTGCCGCAACCGTGCCACCTTCAATGACCTCCTTCACCTGGTAGAAGGCCGGGAAGAGGATGAAGGGATGATGCCTCGCAGGCAACCAAAACCCCAAGCTGAAGATATGCCTATGATTTGTTAATGGTTAGTTGGAACCCCAAAAGAAAAGCGATTGGTGGTAATTAAAATTCAGACCTACATGGGTGTGCCTTCAGAACCCCCAAAAGTGTGCGGTCCTTTTTGGTGTCCCTGTCAAACCAAGCCCAAAACGAGGCAACTTTGGTGTGGTTGACTGGGCTGCCCAAACTGATCCCCTGTTAAAAGTGACTAACTGTTTGTGGGTTGAATACCTAAAACGACCACTAAACCAACTAAAAAGCTGAAAAGCTAAGAAACCAGATTGCTGGGAGCCACCAAGGTGTGTGTCAACATGTTGCGGGGATTCGGACTCCAGCAAATCCTGACCCTTGGACCATACCAGACCATACCCCAGAAGCCTAAATAAACAGAAAACAAAAATCATGAACTGAGAGATACGCTCCCGCCAATTTCAAGAATGGAACCTGACAGGGACGCGGTTCCTGCAAAAGGAAGCTGGTGCAAACCAGGACCCCCCCCCCGCACGTCAGGTTCCATGTGAAAAGGGTGGGGGAACATGTGTCAAACTCCATGATCAAAATGAGAGTCCGACAGCCGCTCCCTCCCAACTGGACCGTAGACTGCTGGATGTTGTCCAATCCGGCATGGGAACACCCTCAAGCCGGATTGGTGGGCTGTCCAAACTGATCCCCTGCAACAACATGAGACTGACGCTCAGTGGGTGAAATGGGCCAACTCAGAAGCCAAAAGCCGAAGGAACCAGATGGCTGGGAACCGCCATGGACTGAGCTGGTGGACATAAATCCGGATGCCAATACTCAAATAGCCAATGGGAAAGTGACGCTCAGAACTCAGCTATGTCAACTTAATATTGATCCGGAGGACCAGGCTCATCCGAGCAAGCCTCTTAACATGAAAGCTTTTCCACTTGGAGGGGAACCACCCTGATTGGCACGGTCCGAACCCCTTGGAGGTTGACATGTGGCTCGGAACTGGACGACTGCAACTGAGCTCGCGGCACGAATTGATCTATCAGCACCTTGGACCGCACACACATGCAGCATTTTGCACGTAAGCCACAACGTCATCTGGAAAATGTGATAGCAGAAAACTATACAGAAAAAACATTGAAATGTGTGTATGACGTGGGTGTATAAACACAAATCGGGGTGTGTTTGCGCGCGTGTGTGTGTGTGTGTTGTGTTGTGTTGTGTTGTGTTGCGTTGTGTTGTGTTGTGTTGTGTTGTGTGGTGTGGTGTGGTGTGGTGTGGTGTGGTGTGGTGTGGTGTGTTGTGTTGTGTTGTGTTGTGTTGTGTTGTGTTGTGTTGTGTTGTGTTGCTGTGCTCTGCTCTGCTGTGCTGTGCTGTGCTGTGTTGTGTGTTGTGTTGTGTTGTGTTGTGTTGTGTTGTGTTGTGTTGTGTTGTGTTGTGGGTGTGGGTGTGGGTGTGGGTGTGGGTGTGGGTGTGGGTGTGGGTGTGGGTGTGGGTGTGGGTGTGGGTGCGGGTGCGGGTGCGGGTGGTGCGTGCGTGTGCGTGTGCGTGTGCGTGTGCGTGTGCGTGTGCGTGTGCGTGTGCGTGTGCGTGTGCGTGTGCGTGTGCGTGTGCGTGTGCGTGTGCGTGTGCGGGTGCG